TTTTTTTTTCCATTTCCTTTCCTAGACTTGAAAGAACATTGCTGTTAGATGGGAGTTGGAACGTGAAAAGAAAAAGAAACACTTCTGTATTGATGCCAGCGTAAATGTGTAGATACAAACGCACACATCAAATAATATGCTTAGCAATCCTTTTTTACTTTTTGAAATCAGATGGTAAATCAGCCCATCTAGGGGAAAGCCAGCTCCCCACATGCTCCCAGGCGGCAGCGGAAGAGAAATGCCTCCAGTGCGGTTCTGGGAGCTGCGTCCGTGCTCACCTCCAGCGGGACAGGGGAAGAGACAGGTTAGTCGTCAGATGGGATACTATTATTTTATTATAGACGGGTCTCTAAGTTGTTTAATGGGCTAGAGGATTTTTTCGAGCCCCTCTGTGAAGGGTGTTTGGTGCCATGCGTCAGAGCAGCGCTCACACAGGTGAGCACAATAGATTTTAGTAGAGTGATGTACAGTCAACTTTGCTTTGCAAACTTTTTTATTTTTCCCTGCTTTTTTCTCTTCACAACTAGGTGGCCCTGTAGTCAAGTACACTGAGCATAATGCCCATAAACAGTGGCTCAAGGAGACTCCAGAAACCTTGCTGAACATCCTTAAGAATGCCAATCTCAGCTTGGCGTTTCAGACATCCACGGTATATAGACCAGGTGATTCACGTCTATCGCACAATGGTGGAAACACTTGTTTTTGTTTTTAAAGCTGTGATGAAATATACATAACATGAAATTTATCATTTTAATCATCTTGAAGCATACAGTTCAGGGGCACTAAGTACATCCGTGTTGTGCAGCTACCACCTCCTTCCGTCGCCAGAGCTTTTCCCATCTTCCAAGACCTGAGACTGTGCCCATTACATAATAGCTTCCCGTCCCTCTCTCTCAGGAACCTCTGATTTTAAAGTTAAAATGTTCTCCCGAATCATTTCTAGCCAGTCTTAAGCTGTAAGTAAAGTTCCCCATGAGCTTCATTACGTCTGTTTTCTCGTTTGTTTGCTCTTTAATGATCCTGCGACTACTTGGGAGAGTGGCCAGTTCTCACTGTGCAGACACACCACTGCTTTAATGACATCACAATTCAGACCTCATAACAGTAACTTCTGGATTTCTTGTGCTCAGTACTTGAATTCTGCTATATTGAATAGAGCTCAAAAAAGAACAATTAGGATTTGGTTTTCTTATCGTTTCCATAGACATTTTCACTAAAAGTGTCCAAAATAACCTTTCCCAATACTGTCCTTAGGATCTGGGCCAAAGGACTGCATCAGGGTGTGTGTGTGTGTGTGTGTGTGTGTGTGTGTGTGTAGTTTTGATAATCCAATTGCTAAAGTCACCTTGGGAGGTTAAGATCTAAGATAAGTTACACTAAGTGGACCCTATGAGGGTGTGGCAAGCCTGTATTCACTGTAACAGATTTAGCTGTATTTATTTGATCAGTATTTACTGAGTGCCTAACATGCAGGTTAACACTTTTTAAAAGGGTTAGTTTCTTCCCTGAAAGAGTTTACCGTCTGGGAGACCAGCGCACAATGTAGAATCTTAGAGCTGCCCGGGCTCTGGTGGTGCTGCCCTCGCACTGATACCGGGGCCCCAGGGAGAGGTGGATGCACGGGAGCCAGGTGTGAGCAAGGTTAATGGCTGTGAATTTATTTTGTTTTAGCCATTATAGGTCCTGGATCTTGAAGTTCTTGTCATTTCAGGCAAGTCACTGTTTAAAAAATATATCATAGCTCTATGTTGAAAGGGCTTTTATAAAGATTTAGCCCACATTTTTATGTTAGGTTATTGTCTTGTAAGCAAAAATCTGAACGTAATTACCATCTGGAAAATTTGTTTAAAGCATGCATGTAGTCTTAACTCCCTATCTTTACTTACCTCCATTGGGAAAACTTGGGGTAGGAGGGAGCTCAGAGGAAAAACGAACTAGTCCTGCTATCCAAAGGTAACTCTTAATGCTTTAATATTGGTGCTTATGTTTGAGGGTTTTAACTGTGATTTTCCACACTTTTTCTTTGGAAGAAAGGACTTTAAAAATTTAATATGCATTCTGATGCTTACCAGGCCTATTTTATGCCAGAAATCATGTTGGGTAATACAGGGAGGCACTACAGAAGAAATACAAGGGCATGGCATTATCTTCAGTCAGCCAGCAAGCTTTGGAGGGTTTTAGCTCAACAGGCACGATAAGTAAGTACTATTGAAATTGCCATAATGTCTGTTAATATTCCTCTGCAGGTTCAGAAGGGTTCTTGAAAAGCCCCCTGGCTGAAGAAACAGAGGCATCAGACAGTGTTGACGGAGGTCATGATTCTGTCATTTTGGATCCAGAGAGACTTGAGCCCAGGCTGGATGAGGAGGACACGTACGTAGGGTCTACCTGGACAGTTCTAGCTGCATGTGTGCACGTGTGGCTTAAATTATACCTCAGTGGTGCCAGGTTTAGTAGGAGCTGGTTGTATCATTTACATTGTAAATGAATGTTGATATCTGGATCTTGTGTCTGGGTTTGGTAATGTATAGTGTTATGAAAGAATTCCTGACAGGGCCTTAGGTTATAAGAGTTCATCTCAGACTTACTATTTTATATAATCTGTTGGATTTTATTTTGAAAAAGTTGTAGAAACAGTGGAAAATGATCTTTTGGAAGAGCTGGCAATGTTTTTGTCTGTTCCATTGCCTTATGGAGCTCATTTTTCAAAGACATAAATATCGTTACTGTGGCATTCTGCTTTGAACCATCAACAAGTATTCTGTGCCCTTCATATGGAGGCTCAATATCCAAATTGTGTTTTCACAGGGACTTTGAGGAGGAAGACAGCAGTCCTAACTGGGTGTCAGAACTGAAGCGGCGAGCTGGCTGGCAGGGACCGTCTGATGGGTAATGCCCAAGGAAACGTCCCTTAGTCACGCTGAGCAGATGTTTAAGATGAGGAATTAATGTTTGGTCAATGTTAGCCCATGGGATATGTATTTTCCTTGGAAACAGAATGAAGAGGAGGAAACTGGATATTGTTCCTGATTAGGACCATGAGGTTTAAAAATTGACAACTATTGTTCTTGAACTCAGAGGAGAAGGTAGGGCCCAGGGGGCGTGGGCTTCGGGCCTGTGGTCTGAACAGAACCCGGATGCTGCGGCTTAGTGTCTGCGGAATCTCAGGGAACCACTAACCTCTTTGAGCCGAATTCCCTCCCCTCTGCAACGAGGATGCCAAAGCTGCCTCCCTGGCCACTAGAGCCGCCATGATGTTACTGTTTGAGTTACGATCTGTGTTTCTTACTGTGTAGCTCTTTTTACATTTCCTAAAGGTTTCAGGGCCTAAAAATATTTAATTGTAACTAATGATGTGATTTTTCAGTAAGACCTGCTTCTGGGTAGTGACCAGTGATCTGCAGTGACCTTCAGTTCCCAGCCATCCTTAGATACAGCCCCCCACGGATGCACGTGCCAGCCACGGGAAGGGTGGAGTGGGCTGCAGGACTTGTCCAAAGTTAGCAGGCCGGTTATAGGAGAAAAGAAGAGGCCAAAGGTGAGGGGTCTATGCGGGAAATACCAAGCTAGAGAGTGCTGGGGAGCAATGGTGTGGGCATCCCAGTGTGCATGGGTGTCGTGACACACAAGGTGGGTCTGGTCATTCAGTCCTCCTATGCTTATGGGGGGAGACTCTTTTACTAAACAAGAAACACACTCCTCCCAGGAGACCCCACAGGGGCCAGTCTGGGAGCAGCACTGACCCAGGGTGGGGTCAATGGTCAAGTGACAGTGGGGAATTTATAGAACTACAGTAGGAGCGTTCATAACAATCTACTGAAATGTGAATGCGTTTTAACAGCTCTAACTGCACATATAAGCGACAGTGGTGTAGACCCTCACCCCACACTTTATGCTGTATTTATTTGATCAGTATTTACTGAGTGCCTAACATGCAGGTTAACACTTTTTAAAAGGGTTAGTTTCTTCCCTGAAAGAGTTTACCGTCTGGGAGACCAGCGCACAATGTAGAATCTTAGAGCTGCCCGGGCTCTGGTGGTGCTGCCCTCGCACTGGTACCGGGGCCCCAGGGAGAGGTGGATGCACGGGAGCCAGGTGTGAGCAAGGTTAATGGCTGTGAATTTATTTTGTTTTAGCCATTATAGGTCCTGGATCTTGAAGTTCTTGTCATTTCAGGCAAGTCACTGTTTAAAAAATATATCATAGCTCTGTATTGAAAGGGCTTTTATAAAGATTTAGCCCACATTTTTATGTTAGGTTATTGTCTTGTAAGCAAAAATCTGAACGTAATTACCATCTGGAAAATTTGTTTAAAGCATGCATGTAGTCTTAACTCCCTATCTTTACTTACCTCCATTGGGAAAACTTGGGGTAGGAGGGAGCTCAGAGGAAAAACGAACTAGTCCTGCTATCCAAAGGTAACTCTTAATGCTTTAATATTGGTGCTTATGTTTGAGGGTTTTAACTGTGATTTTCCACACTTTTTCTTTGGAAGAAAGGACTTTAAAAATTTAATATGCATTCTGATGCTTACCAGGCCTATTTTATGCCAGAAATCATGTTGGGTAATACAGGGAGGCACTACAGAAGAAATACAAGGGCATGGCATTATCTTCAGTCAGCCAGCAAGCTTTGGAGGGTTTTAGCTCAACAGGCACGATAAGTAAGTACTATTGAAATTGCCATAATGTCTGTTAATATTCCTCTGCAGGTTCAGAAGGGTTCTTGAAAAGCCCCCTGGCTGAAGAAACAGAGGCATCAGACAGTGTTGACGGAGGTCATGATTCTGTCATTTTGGATCCAGAGAGACTTGAGCCCAGGCTGGATGAGGAGGACACGTACGTAGGGTCTACCTGGACAGTTCTAGCTGCATGTGTGCACGTGTGGCTTAAATTATACCTCAGTGGTGCCAGGTTTAGTAGGAGCTGGTTGTATCATTTACATTGTAAATGAATGTTGATATCTGGATCTTGTGTCTGGGTTTGGTAATGTATAGTGTTATGAAAGAATTCCTGACAGGGCCTTAGGTTATAAGAGTTCATCTCAGACTTACTATTTTATATAATCTGTTGGATTTTATTTTGAAAAAGTTGTAGAAACAGTGGAAAATGATCTTTTGGAAGAGCTGGCAATGTTTTTGTCTGTTCCATTGCCTTATGGAGCTCATTTTTCAAAGACATAAATATCGTTACTGTGGCATTCTGCTTTGAACCATCAACAAGTATTCTGTGCCCTTCATATGGAGGCTCAATATCCAAATTGTGTTTTCACAGGGACTTTGAGGAGGAAGACAGCAGTCCTAACTGGGTGTCAGAACTGAAGCGGCGAGCTGGCTGGCAGGGACCGTCTGATGGGTAATGCCCAAGGAAACGTCCCTTAGTCACGCTGAGCAGATGTTTAAGATGAGGAATTAATGTTTGGTCAATGTTAGCCCATGGGATATGTATTTTCCTTGGAAACAGAATGAAGAGGAGGAAACTGGATATTGTTCCTGATTAGGACCATGAGGTTTAAAAATTGACAACTATTGTTCTTGAACTCAGAGGAGAAGGTAGGGCCCAGGGGGCGTGGGCTTCGGGCCTGTGGTCTGAACAGAACCCGGATGCTGCGGCTTAGTGTCTGCGGAATCTCAGGGAACCACTAACCTCTTTGAGCCGAATTCCCTCCCCTCTGCAACGAGGATGCCAAAGCTGCCTCCCTGGCCACTAGAGCCGCCATGATGTTACTGTTTGAGTTACGATCTGTGTTTCTTACTGTGTAGCTCTTTTTACATTTCCTAAAGGTTTCAGGGCCTAAAAATATTTAATTGTAACTAATGATGTGATTTTTCAGTAAGACCTGCTTCTGGGTAGTGACCAGTGATCTGCAGTGACCTTCAGTTCCCAGCCATCCTTAGATACAGCCCCCCACGGATGCACGTGCCAGCCACGGGAAGGGTGGAGTGGGCTGCAGGACTTGTCCAAAGTTAGCAGGCCGGTTATAGGAGAAAAGAAGAGGCCAAAGGTGAGGGGTCTATGCGGGAAATACCAAGCTAGAGAGTGCTGGGGAGCAATGGTGTGGGCATCCCAGTGTGCATGGGTGTCGTGACACACAAGGTGGGTCTGGTCATTCAGTCCTCCTATGCTTATGGGGGGAGACTCTTTTACTAAACAAGAAACACACTCCTCCCAGGAGACCCCACAGGGGCCAGTCTGGGAGCAGCACTGACCCAGGGTGGGGTCAATGGTCAAGTGACAGTGGGGAATTTATAGAACTACAGTAGGAGCGTTCATAACAATCTACTGAAATGTGAATGCGTTTTAACAGCTCTAACTGCACATATAAGCGACAGTGGTGTAGACCCTCACCCCACACTTTATTTACACTTAGACATTTGATCAGCCTTAGTCTCCTCTGGTCTCTAACCATCTCTCCATCTTCCCTTATGTCTCAGGACCTGGGCATTTTTGAGGAGTGCTGGTGGAATCTCTCCGTTTGGTTTGTCTGGTATTGTTCTTATAAAGGAGGCAGAGCTAAATGAAGGGCCTTGGGAAGGAATGTCGCCGGGAGCGGAGCCTTCCCGTCTGCCTGTGACTGCTGCTGGCCTTGTCGTTAAGGCAGCGCCTGCCGGTTTTCCTAATAAGATGAAAGTCACGTGACTCTCTAGCATCTTACTGTGCTGATGGACAGTGACTGTAATGGGGTGTGTGGTGGGGACTTGGTGATGGGGGGAATCTAGTAACCACAGTGTTGCTCGTGTGATTGTATATTAATGATACCAAAAGAAAAAAAACACTAAAAGGCTGGGGAACCATTGTTTTAAAGAGGCTGAGAAACTGATCTTTTTTCCAGTTTTTTTTTTGTGGCAAAATACACATGACATAAAATTTACCATCTTAACCATTTTGTAAGTGTTCAGTACAGTGGCTTTAAGCACATTCACATTGGTGTGTGGCCATCCCCACCATCCTCATCTCCCCAAACTGAAACCATGTCCCCATGAAACACAAACCCTACCCCAACCCCTCCCCACCGTCCACTTTCTGGATGTGACCCTCTAGGGACCTCCTGTGAGTGGAGTCAGACAGGAGCTGTCGTTTTGTGATGGTTTATTCCATATAGCATCCATGTTATAATGTGACTTTTATTTTACCTGATCCCACTGGCTGCTTTGAGAGCAGGGGTGGCAGGGGGTAGGCCAGGGCAGGGGCAGTGAGGTAGAGGCGACTGCACTGCCAGCGAGCAGAGACGGGAGCAGGTGTTGGGTGATACTAACAGGTGTGGAGAGACACGATCAGACTGGGAACCTATTTTGAAGGCTGTTCTGATGGCTTTTGAGAAAGGACCAGGTGTGGGAATACCAAAAAGAGAGGAATGAAGGAGTCTGAGATATGGGCCATGGCATTTGGGTGGATGGTTGTGAATTTGGGGGCAGGTCTGGGAGAGGAAGATGAGTCAGAATCCAGCTTTGGCCAAGTTAGGTGAGACATACTCCAAGAGACAGGTGTGATGGGCAGATGACGCTGGAGAGTCCAAGGGTGAGCCTGAGGTCAGGGAACAGACTGGGATGGGGACAGAGGAAGCCATCAGTATAAGTGAGGGGCTGAGCCACTGTGGGTGAGACCCCTAGGTGGCAAGTATGGACAAAGAGGAGCAGGGCTGCGGAAAGCTGGGGTACACTCTGCACGAGATACGGGGAGCAGAGGTCAGCCAAGGGGAGAGTTGTGGACAGCAGGGGATCAGGTAGATCAGTGAGAGGCCAGGGACCCCACTTCCACAGCCAAGGTGACACGTGACACCAGGGCAGCCACTGGGCGTGCCCCCTGGGGCAGGGACCCCACTCAGTAGAAGCAGCTGCTGCTACTGGTGACATTTCACTCCCTGAGCATCCTGGCTTCAAAGTCTCTGCAGGGGTGGGGGAAGGAGAGGAGGGTCTGGAGAGGCCAGTGGGGGAGGGGGCCAAAGCAGGGCCCCAGGAGGGCTGAGCAGCCAGGAGTCAGCCGGAGGCCTCAGCTGAGGTAGGTAGTCCTGATGGGGGTTAAGGAGCAGACACCCCCATTCCGCCATCCACAGGGGGCACAGGAGGAGATCTGGGGTCACTCCACCAGCCCTAGGGCTTGGTCTGGAGCTGAGCCCTCTGCCTATGGCCCTGCTCACCCTCCCACAGATGTCCAGCAAGGTGGCCATTGGCAGTAACATCAGGCAGGCCCGCTGGGCCGTGGAGCAGCTGCGGATGGAGGCAGGCATCGACCGCGTGAAGGTGAGGGCCGGGGTGAGGCGGGCATGTCTGGGTGAGGGGGCAGGTGGCCAGCCCGGGTCTGGTTGATGGTGCTGGCCTGCAGGTGTCCAAGGCGGCCTCTGACCTGCTGCAGTTCTGCACAGAGCAGGCCAAGAGCGACCCTTTCCTCGTGGGCATCCCGGCTGCCACCAACCCCTTCAAGGAAAAGAAGCCCTGTGCCATCCTATGACCCCATGGCCTCTACCACTCAGGAGGCCTCAATAAACAACTGAATGCTGCTGGTGCATGGCTTGGCTGGGCTGCGGTGGGGGAGCAAGGAGGGGCCACTGGGCTCAGCCCCCCACCCACCCACCCAGGATCCTGGCCACAGCAGCACAGACCCCCCGAATCCTGGATAGAAGAGCACGCACTTCTGCATTAGCCAGTGCCCTGTCCCACTGCACAAACACAGCCAGGGCAGAGTCCCAGTCTACATGCCAACGCACAGCATACATGTCACACACATACAGAGGTGTCATTGTACCAACGTTCCCAGGTCCTTAAGAGCCTCCCTCTTTCTTGTACACACCCACACCCAGCGGCATTCAGACATGCACAGGCAGGGTTACCGTCACCACACACCCAGCCAGACTGCCTCCCCAGGGACATGCAGACACACGATCCCAGAAACCACTCAGCAAGCACACATGCCCAGACACACAACAGCGGCTGCCACTGAGGCTTTCACGCCCTCAGAGACACGCCCCAGCCCCAAGCAGGCGAGGCAGAGCTCGGGTGACAATGAGCCCAAAGTCCAGGCTGAAGCACCAGCACAGAACGTTTACTTCTCCTTTGCTCTTCAGAGACAGCTGGCATCCTAATCACAACAGAAACGGTGCCCAAGGGTGGGGAGCAGCCCTGGGTGGGCAGGTGGGCAGACACCAACCTCACCTCCCCTGGGCCTGGACTCCTTGTGCCGGAGGCCTGTGGGTGGGGCAGAGGCAGCACCAGCGTGGGGGAAGGTTCCCAGGAACAGGGCCCGCAGATCCTCACCCACAACCACATCCGCCTGCTCAGGCCTGCAGCCTCCAGACCTCCAGCGATAGGCCCCCAGAGGCAGCCACCACCAGGTTGCCCTCGGCACAGATCTGGGAGGGCAGGGATGTAGGAGTCAGGGGTGCTCTGGGGAGCCAGGCAGGGTGCGTGGGGGGCAGGGCCTTACCCCATTCAGCACGTTGTGGTGGCTTCGGGTGCAGATGGTCCTTGGTGGGTCTGTGGGCACATGCACCTAGTCAGGAGCAATGGGCAAAGGTCATGAGGTGTGCCCTGGCCATGGGGACAGGACAGGGAGGGGACCTGTTCTAGGGCCTCACCCGGATGGTCTTGTCGGTGGATGTGGTGTACAAGGCCCCCAGCGAGTGTTTGATCCCTGTGATCTGAGACCTGTGGCCCACATCAAAGGACTGCAGGAGGGAGGGACAGGTGACACTCAGGTGGCTCTTCCTAGGTCAGCCCCTGCCACCACCACCTGGGGGTGGGTCAGCTGGTAGGGAGGAGGCCCAGGGAGGGTCGGGCAGGGGCGAGGGCCCTGGCAGACCCGGACAAGCTGGAAGCAGCCGTCACGGTTGGCAAAGACATGCAGCAGGCCCTGGTTGTCGCCAGCCCAGAGCTGGGGCCTCTGGTAGGACATGCAGAGCAGGTAGGAGTCCAGCTGTGGGAGGGACGTGGGATGGGTAGTTCAGGCTTGGCCAGGCCAGGCCACACTGCAGCCCCCAGCCCACCAGGCCCTTGGGGAGGGCCCACCTGCAGCCGCTGCAGGACGCTGTTAGCCCGGCGGTCAAACACCACGAGCGTGTGGTCCTCACTGCCCGAGATGATGTGCTGGTCGTCCGCCAGCAGCGCCAGCACCGCACTCGAGTGCAGCCGCCGGCTCTTCAGCAGGGCCGGGCCGACTTCATGGGCAATGGGCCAGGAAGGAGAGGGACATCAGAGCCCCTTGGAGGCCCCCAGCCCACCTGAGTATCCCAGGCCTTTGTCCTCCCTGGAAAAACCCTTGGTCTCCTCCCAAGCCCCCATCCTGCAGGTGACCCTGTCTCTTCCCTCCTGTCCCAGCCTCCCAGTATCCCCAGGTCTCGGCCCTCCCATCTCCTGTCCCATCTCCTCACTGCATCCCATCTGCTCTCAGCACCAACCAGAGGACCTGGGCACGTCCCAGCATAAAATGCCTCCTCCTGCAGGTCATGCCCCAACCCCATCCATACCAGCCCCTTTAGTTAAAACAAGAACAAATAAATAAACAGTAGAAAAGGTTTATGTGCTGGACAGTGTTGGTTCTAGGCATTTTACGTAAACTAACATTTACTCCACCCATGTCCTTACTGTCATCTCCTCCCCCTAACCCTATGAGGCTGGGGTTGTTACCCGATTTTACAAATGGGACAGTGGGGTTCCAGCTTCGCTGGGGTGACACAGCTAGGAAGTGGGGGAGCAGGATTCTCAGGGGTCTGTCCTGCCTTCCATGGGATTCAAGCTCAGAGGCCCCTCCTCTGGGAGCTCTCCTGTCCAGCCCACCCCAGGTGGAGGCAGGGCTTCCTGTCTCCAGTACCGGCTCCACACCAGTCACCCTTGATGCCCACAGCACAGGCCACTCTGGGTGGTTAGCATCTGGTTATGTGACTATCACCCTAGCCAGGCTGTGAGCCCAAGTGTCTCTCTCCCCAGCATGACCCTGGGGACCTCAGGCAGCCCTGATCTGCCCACCTAGGCCCCGAGGTCCCTGGCCCACCTCTGGGGTCGTAGACAGTCACCTTCTTGTCGTAGGTGCCAGTAACAAGGATGTCAGGCTGGTAGGACAGACACAGCACTGCTGCCTTGCCCCTGGGGACACATGGATCACAGGGCTGGCGCTGTAGCCACGCAGGATCCTGCCACGCCCCCCCTCCTGCCCAGGACCCCTCAAACTTTATCTCGCCAAACTGCTGCCCATCAGCTGCCATGTCCCAGAGCTTCACCGTGCTGTCCCAAGAACCGGAGCACACTCGGTGGTCCAGCGCCGCCAGCGACCACACCCAGCCCTGCGGGACCAGATGCATGTGATTGTCCCCATATCGTAGATAACAAAATCAAGGGTCAGAGGAGGGAAATTACCCAAGAATCCAGAGAAAGTCAACAGAGCATAGAGTTTAGAGCTGAGCTCTGTGGGCCTGACTTCAGAACCCAGGACCTGCACAACCTCACCTACTAATATTCGTAAGTCAAGTCCTGTGGAGGCTGAGCCCCAGCCAGGGTCTGAGGCTATATGACAGTGAGATTAAGAATGGGGCCTGGGCGAAGCTAGTGCTCTCCCTGGGCTTCTTCACTGAGGCAATGGGCAGAAAAACAGTCCCTGTATCAGAGCTAGTGTGACTTATTTCTCCTCAAACACTCGAAGGAGTGTACTGGGATGTGTCCCATTCTACAAATGAGGAAACCAGGACACAGAGAGGCTGGGTACCTTGCCCAAGGTCACACAGCCAGGAAGTTGCCGAGTGAGATCTGAACCCAGTGGCAGGCTCTGAGACCAAGCTTGTGGCCACTGGCCTAGACCACCTCCTACTAAGACCACCGCCACAGTGCCTTACCCAGGCCTCCCACCTCCTATCCCTGCCTGGCCTTCTGCTTCCTTACCTTGTGGGTGCTGTTCTGGGTGCCCAGGGCTTTGACCAGGACATGGCTGGGCTCCACCCCAAGCTGCCGCAAGTCCCACAGGTTGACGTTGCGATCTCGAGAGCCCGACAGACACAGTGTCCCACCCTGAGAGGGCAGAGAGGTGGTATTGTAGGGGTTACCCTGGCTCAGCCGTGCCTGGCTCCACAACAACCCCTGGCTCACCTGGAGCAGCAGCACTGAGTCAATGGAAGCAAAGTGCCCATCAGCCAAGCAGAAGTACTCAACCTGGCGCCCATCCTCTGCCCAGTGCGACAGGTGCTGCTCCAGCTCAATGCAGGCTGCCGGCCAGTCAAAGTCCTCCTCTGTGGGGCACCATGAGCAGGGTCCCCAGTGGGTGGGAGCCCTGCCACTCACAACAGCTGTCCAAGCCCACCCCTGGCTTCCAGGACTCTAGGGAACCCAACTGTACCAGACTTGTAGAGAACCCCAGCTGGATCCCTCATCCCACCCCAAGGAGGCCCAGGCTCAGGCTTTGGGACCACCAGCCCATCCACCTTCCAAGCACTCCTCATCGTTGTTCCCAAAAAATGGGGCATTGGAGTCTCAGGACCACCCAGGTCTTGGGGATAGCATCCTCAGCACATTCAGGTCCTGCCTCACCCTTGGCTGAGGTCAGACCTCAGCCCCTCAACCCTCAGGTTGGGCATAGGAGCTAGGGCTTCATAACTGACCCTTTCTGCCTTGGCCATCTGAACTGGACCCAGGAAGTATTTCTCAAACTAGTACCTGTGTATCTGGAAGCGCTGCCAAGATGCAGAACCCAACCCCTAGGTACAGAGATTAAGTGGTATGACAGAGCTGAAGCATCTTATGTTTATCAAGCTATTTGGGAGAATCCCATCAATTCAAGGTCACTAAGCTGTTTCATCCCCCAGAGACAGACACAATGACCAACAGCCCCTGCTTAGAATCCCACACTAGATCCTCCATTTGAGGTTCTGTGAATTCAGATGTCAGGGATCCCAACCTTTATACTGTAATTTGTGTTCAAGGGCTGCAGGCTGTGGATCTTGAGTTTCTGTCTCATCTCCACCTAGGTCAAGATTCTAGGGATGAGTGGTTTAGACATAGGTAGTTCCTGATTCAGCATCTAGATCCAGGACCTGAGAATTCTTGGGCTTACTCTGAGTCCCAAGCAGATTCCAACAGCTGAAACTTCAAATCCCTGTTTTAACCCCTGGCCAGGGACAAGGGCCTTAGTACCACCAGACTGCAAACCTGCAGATCACTGGATCCTGAGTTCAGGTACCCAAGTCCCCAGATAGATTTCCACTGTCTCAGAACCCCAAGTCTCTGCCTCAGGTTCACCCAGAGGTCAGTGGCCTTGGCGTCACCACCTCAAACTGCACCTGAGCCAGGACAGCCATGAAGCCTGCTCCAGGGGCTGTGCTCACAGCACCTCAAGTACCTTGTCCCTCACCCCAAGCCTGATCTGGGGGGGGAAACCCCAGCCCCCGGGCGCGCGCACCTTCCACCACGGGGTAGGGCGCGCGTACACGGCGTTGTGCGCGTAGCCGCCAGGTGACACGGTCATGCACGAGGTTGCGCAGCGTGTGGCACACGCGCGGCAAAACGTGGAGCACGAGGCGCGCGTCCAAGTAGGTGCAGATCTCGAGCAGCAGCTCCGGGGGAAGGCTCAGCAGGCCCGGGACTCCAACGGCCTGACCCTTGAGTGCGGCCAGCGGCTCCAGGGCGCCAGGGGATCCGGCAGGCGCGGACAACAGAGGGACGCGCGGGGGCGCCAGTCCCATTTTCGGCGGACTGAGCACGCGGGCCACGTAGGCCTTGGCCTGCGCGTCGGGGTCGGGCTCCGGCTCCGGCTCCGGGTCGGAATCATCGTCCCAGGAGCGGGGATCATCACACGGCCCTGGAGGCAGCTCCATGGCGACAAGGTGGGCGCGCCTAGCCCGGCTATATCAGCCTAGGGCCTTCGCGTCCTGTCTCCTAGGCAGCATTAGCGCATTTCCGGCGCTCTCTGATGACGTTACGTCAGCCGGAAACAAGCTAGCCACGCGGAAACAGGAAGGATCCTGGAATCCCGCTAGCTGGAGGGGTCTTTGGGAGCTGTGTTGGTCTAACTGGAAAATGCAGATTCCTGGTTCCTGCTTTTTAAACAAGCAACGCTGGTTGTGCTGATGCGGAGGGACAGCTGTTTGTGATTTTACACGCTTCTGTCGCAGTTGCCTCTCAAGCAGAACTGATGTTAGAAACCTTAAGTCCCTTTTCCGGTTCAGTCTGGGGCGTGCTAGTAATTCAATCTCCTGTCTCCTTCTGGAGCCAGAAACATGCAGTGACACTGCAAAAGCTCCAGCTAAACAGTTACTCTGAATTACCTAAAATCACACTTACTGACTTTTGAGCCAGGCAGCATTAGCTGGCCCACACAAATTGAGCACTTGCTCTTCCCTCCCCCAACCCTTGAATATCCACTTGGTTCTTTGCTCAAATACCAGCTTTGCAGTAACCCTTCCTGGAATATCCTACTGTAAGACTGCGACCATTTTTCCCGTTTTTATTTCTCCCTTCCTCGCTGTTACTTTCTCTTTGGGACATACCACCATCTTCTATCCCCTCACTAAAATACACATTTGTTGAATGCTGGATGCGTCAGGATCTCTTTTTTTCCCAGGTTGATGCAGGTGATCCCTGAGTCATACTGAGGTTGCCAACAAGAATTAGTATTCCAAGGCTTGAGCATCCTCAGCCTGAGCAATTTCTCATTTGCTGTATTAACTGTTGCTATCTATGTACCTCCCACAGGTCTGGTGCTGAGCTGAGCCATCTACAGAAATGTCTAACCTGCCCAGCAATTTGGTTGTCAAGTCAGCCAAAGATGAGCATGGTGCAAGCCTCACCCCTTGCCACTTAGTTTAGTCTAAGGCAGATGGGGATCTTGAACCTGGGCTGTAACACGTACAGCTTCCTGTTACTTAACTCAGGACGTTTAGTGAGCCCTAATTATGTCGCAGAAAATGCACTGAACATGTATGCTATCACATTTCATCTGCCTTTTTCCCATTCTCATTTCACACAGAAAACTGAGAGACTTGCAGTCTGCACAAATGTTAACTTACCCACCCCTGATTATTTCCTGACCCAAGTCCTGTGCATCCCTCATTTTTAAAGCTTTGCATAACCCCTCCACATCTCTACTGTCAAAGCCAAGGACATAGGCCAGATGGGAGTCCAACGGTTTCACAAGAAACTGATCTTTACTCAACAAAGTTCTACACAAGTGGAATCTTGCGCCGTCTCGGCGCCAATCCCCAGCACAGCACGGTAACAAATGGACAGACCCTGGAGCCCGCAGGAGGAAGATGAAGAGGGACTGGGAACAGAAGGGACTGCAAATCAAAGACAGTCAGGGTCTGCAGTCCTGGGCAGGGGAGGTTGAGAGGCTGAAACTTCGTTGTGCAAAAATCAACCAAAAATAAATAAAAAATTAAATAGTTTTCTCTAAAAACAAAAGAAAGAAAACTATAACTAGGCTCCCCTTCCCTAAAGGTGGTTGGAGCCCCCATTCTGGGTGAAGGGGTTACTAATCCCATCAGACAGCCAACTCATCCACACACCCTAAGACCCAGCAGAGGATGCTCCAAATAACAGGAATTTCCAGAAAATCAAGTGATTTTTTTTTTAAAAAGTTTTTTTTTTCTTTTCTTTTTTTACAAATGGCTTCCAGAGACCTGCTGGAGTTTCACTAAGGGTGGGGGAGGAAGCCAGCTGAGTTTATGGAATGTGCACCTTGGAACAGAGGCAAAGCCTGACCCTATCTGTGAAAACACAGGGCTGTGATAGGGGTGGGGTCCAGGACCCAGAGAGATGGATGAAGCAGTTCCCAGGATGCAGGAATCTAGTCAACCCCCGACCCCCCCACCAAGAAATAACCCAAAAAGGGCCCCAAAAGAGGTACAAAGCAGGAGGGAAAAAGAAAACATTAACAGGGCTGCAGGGCCCGGTTTGTTTCAAGGCCAACTGGTAAGTAATCCAGGTTCAAGCCTCTCCCACTGCGACCACACCCTCAACCAATCCTAGGTTCCCTAGAATCACAGCTCCAGTTCGGTGAGGTCTCAGTGCCCACTGGGAGCTGGGATGAACAGGAAGCCCCAGGCTACAGACTGGGGTGAACGTTTACCACCTTTCCCTTCCTCCAAGCCCTCAGTTTCCTTCCTGCTGGCAAAGCATAAGCCTGCCCTGCAAATTAAATGCCCTGGCCCGAAGCCCTTACAACTCAGGCCTGGACCTGAAGAGAGCTCTCAGAAGCACGGAGAAACAACGCTCCTGAAACTGACTCGCTTATGTATGCAGAGATGCAGGGGTAGCTGTCAGCAGCTCTGGCTGCCCCCCGATGTCTTTGGTGGGGGGAAAGGTCCCAGGCCAGCATCTTCAAAAGTTGCTGTAGCGCAGGGGAGGGAGAAAGGGCAACCTCTGGCCAGCCCCAGCCGCTCCAGCAGTTCCCACTCTTCTGGATGGGACAGGCCAAGGAGGGGAACACACTGGCTGAGCTGCCAGGAAGTGTGCAGAGCAGGTCCCAAGCGTGCAGGTGCTGAGAGCAGCTCCAAGGTGGCTGTCTTCTTCCCCCCACCCCGGGGTCCTGGTGGAGGCCCCAAACCCACCCAGCCCTCCCCAGTCATCGCCAATTCCGGCGAAACAGCAGAAGCTTCTTAAACTCTAGATGCAGGTTACACGGAAGGCCTTACAGGTTAACTGAGGGGTTCACTAATTCTACTGTCTCCATGCAGTCGGGGAAATGGTGGGGCGGCTGGCCCAGCCTGGCTGGCTGCCATACCCACACATGCGTGTGGCCACGTGTGAGTGTCTCTACAAGGACTCTCCCTCCCTGCCTGCCTTCCCCTTGCTTCATCCTAAGCCGGATTTGGTCGGCCGTGTTGATTCTCCCTCCCAGAAGGCTGGCCCAAGTGGGCTGCCCAAGGTGACCCCAATTGAGCAAAGGGCCCTTGCTGCCAAGAAGTCCCACCCCCCTCCCATTTGTAGGATGAGCGTGGAGGCCCCACCCACCTGCCTGCCCACCAGCCGGCCACACAGGGTGGCCTGGTATCAGGGAGACGGGCAGGGAAGGCATCTGGATTTGGGTCCCACTCACTCCTCCCTAACCCCCCCTCGACCAGGGCACAGCGACTTCTGGACACAGTGTGCTCCCCAGCAACCCCTCCGACGATGACGCAGACAGAAACCTGTGAGAAGAGGAAGCAATCAGAGCCTGGGCACATCCAGCCACCGCCCCCCACGCCAGCAGTGCCAGCCGCCTGCGCACAGCTTCCTCACCTGGCAGTCGCCATGCTCGCCTAGACCCCGTAGAAGGCAGCCAGCCTCTCCTTGAGCAGAGGTGGGAACTGTTCTGAGAACTGCTGCCAGTTATCCTCCCCAACTTGGTCTTTGAAGCCGTGGAGAATCTGTGTGGAGGAAGGAGGTGAGGGGTGCTGGGAGCCCAGCAGGAAGAACATGACCTCTCCCCTCAGAGTGTGGCCCAGCGCCACCATAAAGGCCTGTATCAGGGCCAAGACAGGGCTCACCTTATAAAACATGTCCCGAAGGTCATCCTTCGGGCTCACCCATGAGGCTACAGCATCGCAGAAGAAAATAAAGTCCTGAAACGTGACGGGTCCCATGTGAAGGGCGGCCCATGCCCAGCCCCAGTGCCTTCCCTCAGAGCCCAGCTGCGCCGACCTGCACCACGCCCCCAGGGTTGACACCAATCATCATGCAGATGCCTCGGAAGGCAGAGTCCTTCTCCTCGTTGTCCCTGATGTTCCTGAGGGACGTGCACCTGTGGGAAAGGCAGCATCAGCGGTCAGCCAGCAGGGCTGGGACACCTTGGCCGTCTGGGCAGCAGGGCTGGGGTGGGGCATGTATGTTTGGCAGCCAAGGTGGCAGGGCTGGGACATGCATCTATGGGCTGGCACAGAGGCGGGCAATGGGCTTCCCCCCCACTGCCCAGCCCTCCACGCGGAGGCTCCATGCAGGTGGGCACACACCAAGGCCGGATGAACTGCTGCAGCATCGGTGCCACCTCCTGTGGGCACACATAGCCCAGGCGGCCGATGGTGATGGCTGGAATGGCAGAGGGACTCATCAGGCGACCTGTAACCCCGAGTGGCCCCGGGACGGTACGTGGCGGGGCCTCTGGCATGAGGCACCTGCCCCGCCCCTCTGGCCCCAAGGGAATAGCTCTTGCTGGCTGCCTGGGCCACAGAGCTTGGCCCAGCAGGGTCTCCTCTGAGGCCAGCACCTACCTTGGGGCTCCCCCCAGAATCCCCTTCCAGACACCCTCCCTGATTCTTTCCCAAGGCCTCCAGGTCTAGAAACCCTACCTCTAGGAGGTGGGCAAGGGGTTGGCAGTGGCCCTGGCCTGGTGCCCACCTGTGTTTTCCAGCAGCGTCTTGGGGGTGTTGGGCCGGTTAATGATCTCCACCAGGTTGTTCAGGACCATCTGCACATAGGGCTGCATCTCTGCCCCTGGGGGACCAGCCAGTCAGAGCCCAGCATGGCCCGTGCCACCCTTGTTGACCTCAGAAACCATCCAAACACAACCGGTGAAGGAAAAAAAACCTCTGGCTGATCTCCAGCCCAGGACCCATGGCCCTCATCCTCCAAACACCAGAGGGTTCCTGGGGGTCATCACCGCCCCAGGCAGGGAGGTGGCAAAGGATCCAATCAGAATAGGCCTCCTGTCTTCCCTTTTTGCAAAAACCAATCACAGATGGCTTTTCAGCTGCTTGGCCTCCCTGAAGAAAACCACTCAGAGATGTCCTCTTGCCCCTGGCCAACCGCAGCCTTCCTCAAGGGGCACCAGGGCCCCCCGAGGGGTATCTGCAAGTCAGAGCCAGGCTCCAGCCCCCCACTGCCCAGCAATAGGCCCGGGGTCAGCATGGGGCCTGCTCACCCATCTGCATGCAGATCTCGCCAATGGCCCAGGTGGCATTGTTGCAGACAGAGATGAACTCGGGGTTCAGGTTGGTGCCCAGGATGGGCATGAACTCAGCTGGAGGGGAAAAAGAGGGGTGCTGAGCCGGAGACCAGTCAGGGTGAGCTCCCAGACCTGGGTGGGCAGGCCCCCTCACACACTATGAATACATCCTAGTTCGGTTACTGTCTTCCCCAGTCCTTTCTCCATTCTTTGAGGCCAGGGCTGGGCTAAGGCTGTGGGATAAGGATATATCCCCCAGAGGGGTGTCATACCGATACAGGGCTTGACGTGGATGAAGCAGGCTTTGGTGAGGTCTCCCAGGAGGGCAAAGGAGCTCTGCCGGACCTCGGGCATTGAGTCCTGGGGGTCAGAGCAGGGTTAGGGTGGCCCCTGCTCCCCTCCCCCAAGCAATGTTCCAACTAATCCCTCAGTGCAGAGCAGCGAGGAGAGCAGCCCCCAGAGCCTGACGCTGCCACTTCCCAAGGCCAAGGCTATAGGCCATCCTGATATGCTAGGGAGGGGCCATTCTGATACCCAGAAATGGACAGAGCCTGTGCTTCCCTATTTCTTATTTCCTACTTTAATTTCTACATTCTTTGCTTTTTCAGTCATATTTTTACTCGTATCTTACTTGAATCACTTTTTAAAATTACGAGCTTATTTTAAAAGATGGGTCCCTTTTTGTTTGATGTTCTTTGGGCATAATCAGAGGCCAGAGTGACCCATGAAGGTTGCTGGCTGTCATCACTGTCTGGTTAGAGGCCCACAGGCGGCTCACTCACCTGCATGCACTGGAAAAGCAGTGTCATGATGTTGCTTCGGGCCACCAGCTGCTCCACGTGGCCACCCAGGCCCTCAGCCAGGCCGCTGAGCAGGTCTAGTGCCACGATCATGAAATCCTTGTCAGGGGCCTCATACTGCTCAGGGTGCTGGGTATACATCTAGACACAGATGGGGCAGTTGGGCAAGTAAGGGCAGCGGGCCTGGGCTGGGGCAGCAGCAGAAGGGCAGGGGTGGTAGTGGTGTGCTCACCATTGCCTGGGCCAGCGTCTTCTGCACCAAGGTCACACAGCGCTGGTAGACGGGCTCACAGTAGGGCAGGAAGCCACTCTGCAGGGCAGTGGCCACGGAAGACAGGCACTGGAGGGGAGGAAGAAGAAGGGAGGGGAGGTAAGCTTCAGGCAGGGTGGGGAGGGGTGCTGGGAGAGGGCCTGGAGCCCACTGACCTCCAGCAGAGGGAAGAGGTCCTTGTCTTCGTCCTTGAGCTCATTCCACTTCTGGATCAGTGGAGGCATCAGCTTCTGGATGTATTCCTAGAGGGGGAGCAGGAGGTTGGGGCTCCCTGGATGGGGGTGCTGGCCCAGGAACCAGCAGGGCTCCCCGTGACTCAGATGTACCCGCCGCCTGATTGATGAGAACTGAGCATCTCACTGTGGCTCATGGGGCTCCACAGGGCCTCACCGTCCAGCCAGACCTCTAGGCCCTTCTCATCTGCTCCCTTCTCACCAGTCCCCAGCCCCGCCCACCCCGCCCCTGCCCCCACGGAGCCCGGGTTGGCGCCTCCTGGATCCCACGGCCCCTGAGCTCCCCCGGCACAGCACTTACCACGCTGCCTCATAACTGTCTCCCCTGCTAGACGGGGAGCAGGGCGAGGGCGGGGACCAGGTCTGTCTGTCTGCCTGTTGAGGTCACGGCCATGTCCCTGGCGTGCGACACAGGGTCGCCGCCAGGTCACTGGATGCCAAGGGGCACGGGGATCAGGAGGAGGGAGCCACTGTGGGGTCTCACCGGCTGGTTGAGGTGGTGGCCCACAGAGTCAGCCAGCGTGCCGATGGCATCATAGAGGATGAGCAAGTTCTTGTGCTGGTACTTGCCAAAGGCAAAGACGAGGGTATCCAGGATGTAGCTGAGGTAGGGCACCAGCTCTGTGCAGGCCTCCTCCTCCAAGGTGGCAAAGGCACTATGGGTGGGAGAGGGTTAGTGGACAGCTGCAGGCAGGGCTGGGCCCCAAGTGGGGCCAGGAGGGCATCCTCAGGATCAGCCAGTACGAATACTGAGGCATCAGCGCCATGTCAGGGCTCACGAGTGTCATCACTTCCCAGAGGGCAGCCAATGGGATGGAGGTGGGGACTGTGGGGCCAGGGGTCAGGGGTCACCTGCAGGCTGCCTCCTGCACTCTCTTGTTGCCATCTAGGATGCGCTTGAGCAGCTCTGTCATCAGAGGCTTCAGGTGCATGTCAGGTGGCTGGCTGACAACCCAGTGGGCATAGCGGCTCAGCGTCCAGCAGGCGATGGACCGGACCAGGGCCTTCTTGTCTGACAGGCACTGGATGAGGTGCGGGATCAGCTCTGGCAGGTAAGGGACCATGCCCTGCATGCAGCCTGCAAGGATGGGGCGTGGGGTAAGACTGAGCCCAGCCAGGCTGGGACACAGCCACCTTTCTGGGGAGCAAGCATCACCAGCACACCTGACAGACAGGGCACGAAGCTCAGAGCTTCAGTAACTGGCTGAGAGCAGGATTCACAAAGGCAGGGCCAGGAAGGCAGGTGGCATCAAGGCAAGCCTCCCCCTCCACTGCTTGGCCCCATCACAGTCGTTTATTAATTCACAGGTGGCTGGGCTACACGGCAACTTGGGCAGCAGTGACCTGATGGATGATGGAAGGCACTTTTTTTTTTAAACCTTTCTTTGATGTGACTTTTCAGTTTTCTATTTCTCATCCTTTTTTTAATCCTACCTTTTAGAGAACACAGGTAATAGTACACCACCTAAAAATCCATGGCTCAAGATCTATTTTTACTGGTGCAGGGTCAATTCCTCTAGATCTTTTCCCATGAATATGTAGAACACCTAATGCAGTCTATATGCACATGTATTAACATGAGATACATTATACTTATTATGTAAGGGACCCTTTCCTTAGATCAATTTTAATAGCTCTCCAGGGTGAGGGCTCCTACTGCTGTGTCTGAACTTTTTTTTAAATGACAGGCCTGGATGCCAAGGTGGTCACCAGGGATGCCTGTAACAGATTTGCAAAGCTCACTGGTAATTCAAGTTGTACAAGACAAAGGGAATCCAAAAAATCATACCAGTAACGGCACATCATGTTAAGTTTGAATAAATGCCAACCACCGTGCCCCTCTGGTTCTGGCAGGGCAGCCTCGCAGATGGCAGGTTTGAGGCGCAGCTACATCCTGGGTGACTAGAGAAGTAGTGTCCCTCTTTCTGCACCTCACTTTCCCCCTCTGTAAAACCCACCTCATCAGACTGTGGTGAGCCCATGGGACCAGACTGCCTGCCACAGGGGAGCCCTGCAGAAGTGCCTGCTATTGCGTGGCTGTAATTGTACTTACACCCTCACAGAATTGCCTATCTGAGAATTAAGGAGTGGGTTTGCACTCTGGGGTTTCAGGCTTCCATTCAGGCCCACAGGATCACCACTCTGGAACAGTGTCAGGCCAGCACTGAGGTCAGAGGTCAGGTACCACCAGGCCGGCAGGGTACTCACCCTCAGCAATGGCTCCCAACACCAGGATGCCTGACTCCTTGACCACCCACTCAGGGTGGAAGAGGAGGCCCTTGAGCAATGGGAGTAAGTGGGGCAGCAGTTCCTCCCGGAAGACATTGGCCAGGACGTCCAGTGCAGCCGCCGAGCACTTCCCTGGGGCAGGAGAGGAAATTGGGGAACATGCTCAGGGAGGCCCACCGGCCAGGCCAGCGCCCCTCTCTGCACCGCCTGGAACCAGAGATCATGACTGGGACCTTCACAATCTGCTCTGCGTACGCTTCTCATCACCTCCGGAGAGGGAGCCCACCCACTCCTCCTCCCACCTGGGCCTGGGTGCCCTCCACTCCCCCACCCACATGCCAGGCCACCCACTCAGATTCCAGTCGGATAAAGCATCATCATCATCATCATTCTGTGAATTCTGGGGACCCTCGAGCTGCTCAGCCTCATGGGGCAGCGTCACAGTGCGCGACTTGTGGAAACGTGGCTTGATGTCCTGCTCACTGTCAGGGACCGCTTCATCCTCTTCCACATCCCCCTGTGGGGTGGGGCAGATTGCTAAGCACCACCTGGGCCCACAGCCCCAAGGTCCCAACCCTCGCCTGCTGACCCATGCCCAGCAGCCCAACTCACTGACCTTGAGCAGGATGATGTCAATTTCTGAGTACTTCATCCCGTTTACCAGGATGGGGATCAACCTTTTGGGAGAAAGGCTAATCACCAGGATGCAGGGACCCCCCCACATGGGGCTCCCAGCCTGGGCAAGAGTGAAGCACCAAGAATGCCGAGTGGGCAGAAGCATCAAGGAGCCCGGGGACAGACTGTACTGAGTGCGCTGCTTCTCCTGTCGTGCGCCCATCACCTCCCTTAGTGGGCACTGTCCTAACCTGTTCCCAGCCACTGTGATGGGGACAGTGCTGACACAACTGCTGGCTCCTGAGGAGGGCTCCTGACCCAAACCTGACCACTCAGTGAATTCTAGACCCCTTAGTACACTGAAAAGCTTGGAAAGTAGCCAATCCCTAGCATGCCTTAAGGTAGGGAGGGATGTGTGGCCCTGCCACCAGGCCAGATCAGGGGAGCAAATGGGGAGGGAAGCCAGCTCCCTCAGCTGGAGCCTACACACTTCAGAACCAAAAACTTTGATTCAGTGACTCAGAAATAGGCATGTGATCCAAGCTGGTCAAGGAGGGTCAGCCCTAGGGCTTTTGTTGGGGATACTGGTCAGGAAATTCTTTACTCTGAGGTTCCTCATCTGGAAGGCTACAGAAGGCCATAGCACTACCATGAAGGAAGAGCATGCCTGAGAACAAAGCCAGCACAGAGGAAGCAGATCCAAGCCTAGACAGATGCCTTTCCCGTCTTTTGCACACATGGACCCAGCTATCCCTGAAGCCTTTGATTTTTCATTTTTTCCACCTATAACTTACCTTAAAGTCATTAAGGTTACATTATCACTTGCAAAATAAAAGTGCACAGGGAAACTGAGATAGAGGATGTGGACTGGGGTTAACACAGGAGGTGATCAGAGGGAAGGCAGAGGCACTGTGAGGGTGGAGGCTGGGCTGGGCCAGGGCTGGAGGGGGACTCACTGGACCAGGTGGGAGGCCAGGACTTCCTTGCAGATGGGCTGCTCGGCCAGCGTCAGCCAGAACTCGCAGGCCTCAAGGGCCACATTCTCATCGTGGTCCTGGGTCCTCTGCAGCATGTACTGGGTGGGGTGGGAGGGAGGCTGAGACCCCACGCGGCAAGGGAAGCCCCCCCCCCGCCTCCTGCCTTGCAGCATGCACTTGGGCCGGCCTTAGCCATGCACACCTGGATAATGCTGTGCATATGGGGGATGAGCCTGTCTATCCGCACTTCCAACAGCATCACCAGGGCACGGCACACGTTCTTGCGCACCTCGGGGTCATCATCCACAGCCAGAGCAAACAGGTGCTACAGAGAAGATGTGGTCAGCTGAGGCATGGGGCTGGGGGCTAGGCACTCGGCCCTCGCCCTGCTCACCCCCAGCCCAGTGGCCCACCTCGATGAAGGTGTCGATATTATCCATCAGCGCCTGGGCCCGGTCCATGATGAACTGGTTCACGCAGGCAATGGCATGGGACCTGGCAGGGAGCAACGTAGGGGTCACTCCACCCCCGCCCACTGCAGAGCCCCTTGCAGACTCCTGGGAAGCCACACCCACCTGATCTTGGGGTTGCAGTGCTTGAAGAACTGTAGGAACTTGGGGATCATGATGTTTAGGGGCCTGTTGAGGGCATCGCTGTCCAGAAGCTCAGACGAGTCTTCACAGATCTTCTGTAGGGCTCCGAAGGCTCCCTGAGTGGAGAGGAGTAGGCAGCCAGGCGTGGGCCCCAGTCCAGCCCAGGTCCCATTTGAGCTCAGGGCGGGGGGCCGCAGCTAGTCGCCTACCTCACAAGTGTTGTAATCCTCTGAATTGAGCAGGTTGCACAGCTGCGGCAGCAGCTCAGGCCACATCTGAAGCTCACCCTTGGAAGCGATGGTGGTGATGAGAATTCCTAGGGTAGCCGGGACAGGAGCCTGCCTCAGACCGGGCATGGGCCTGCCACACTCACCCTGCCACTCACTCCACCAGCGTGCACGCTTTCTGTCTACCATTCCCCTGCCCTTCTACCCCCGCCTGCCCTGAAACCCTACTGGCTCCTCTTGAGATCCTCCAAGCCTTACTATGAGCCACCACTGTTTCAAACTCTGGGATGCCACACAGAAATGCAAAATCCCTGCCTATGGAGCTGTCTAGTGACGGAGGCTGTGAGGAAAGATAAAATCAGCAGAAGACCTAGGAGGCTAGATGCTAAGAGCAAAGTGGAATTAATGCAGAAAGGATGGCTGGCTAGCCAGGGCTGAGGGTGAGGGTAGCCATTTTAAATTGGGTGGCCGGAGCAGGCCTTCCCAGGTTGATACCTCAATATCTGAGCAAAGACCTGAACGAGGTGAGGGAGAAGCCAGAACTGTGAGAAAAGAGCAGCCTAGTCAGCAGGAGCAGCAGGTGCAAAGGCCCAGGGGTAGGAGCAAGTCTGGTGTGCTCAAGGGCCAATGGGGCTGAGTGGAGAAAACAAGGGGGAGAGTGAGAGGAGGTGAGGGCTGGAGGCAGGTCGCAAAGGGCCATGTGGCCTTGGGGAGGCCTTGTACTGCTTATTAGAAACCCAAGTTCGACCTGCAGAAGGCATGTGAAGTGAAGGGCAATGGAGCGCTTGGGCAGCTGAGCTGAATATGGGTGATGTAAGTGCAGAGATGGTATTTAGAGCCAGGAGGTAGCAGTGTGTGAGGGCACACACTGGGAGCTGCCACTGCCATCACTCCAGGTGACCCTGGTTCACCTGTCTGCTGGGAATGGTGTCCCTGCCTCGGGTAGACTGCTCAGACACCAAATGCAGTCTGAGTCTTGTCCCTGTCTATGTGACCTTGGCCATACTGTCTAACTTCTCTGTGCCTTACACTAGGGAAAAAGAACACCGGCCTCCTATGGCTACAGAAAGCTTCAGTGACTTAACTGAAGTATTTAGAACAGAACGTGGCACCTAGAATGGGCTCAGTAAATCCAGATCCTACTGCTGGCCTCAGAGAGGATGTTGTCAGGGCTGAGGGTCACTTTTAACAGAGGTGGCAGGCCCCAAGATCAGCACTTCTGGCAGGCCCAGTATCTGGCTCAAATTGAGTACTATTTTTTTGTCTTTATGGCATTTGTTTTTAAGGTCATTTTCTCTTTAAGGTGAGTCAATGCCTTTCACTTAAGAGTTACATACAACTTTCTTTTAAAAACAACTTTTAAGGTTGACACAGATTTAAAGAAAAAAGGTGCAAGTCTTTATATGTCAATTACAACTCAATGAAGCTGGTGTTGGGAAATAGTATGAAATAGTAGGGTTGGTGGTTATCAGTGGTGAAAAGACTTCAGGTAAAAGTGCTTTAAAATGGTTAGTCATCCTTCTGTAACTTCCTTGGTAGCCTTCTCGGAGGTAAGAAGGCTCTAATACAAACCTAACTCATATTTCATCTAAATCACTTTTGGAGAGAATTAGCTGATGACAGTGAGCTCCACCAGGGAGCCTTCATATTTTAACCTGCAACACCCTCAGGACCTAACACAAAATCCTGGTCACTGAGTGGCTGCCTCAGAAGTCAGAACGGCTGTTTTGGGAGGGAGTGGTCTGGAGTCTGGACCTGCATTGGCCGCTTCTGAGCTCTGCCACTTACCAGGTCAGCCCCTGAAAAATCTCTGCCTCCGTTTCCTCATCTCTAAAATGGCAACAATAATAGGACTACCATCCATGGTGCTGGAATGTTCAGTGACTCGATATCCTTAACATGCTGAGAAACTTCTAGGCCAAGAAAGAATCGTCAAAGGCTGGCTCCCATTGCTCCCCTCACCTATAGTGGCTCGAATGAGTGAGGAGTTATCACCGATGTTGTTGAGACACTCCTGTTTAATGAAGTCAGCCACAGGCGGTGGAAAGCTCTGGTAATGTGCCTTCACATTGTTCTTGAGGATGAGGCCACTGAGAGAGCGAGTTGGCTCATCTGGGGGAAGAGGGCTGAGGCTAAGAAGACCACAGGGGGGAGAGCGGGGTCCAGCCTGCATGGAGGGGCACCCAGGGTGTACCTTCCGACTTGAGTCTGGTCAGGACGAAGATTAGGTAGTTGTTGAAGTCAGGAAACTGGTTTAGTTGTTTGAGTTTCTGCCAAATTGTTAAGGGACTTAGGAGACAAAGGCCTTCCCCAGGTGGGACCCCCTTAACATCATGTAGCTCAAAGTACCTCTGACACATGGACGCCATGCCCAGAACAACAGAGCATTTCAGGGACACCAAATTCATCCAGGGGGCTGGGGAGCATGCCTGAGCTTCCCACTCACTCCTAAAGACCTGACTAGAACAGGAGAGGGTTGGTGGAGCTGGCTCTGTCTGAAGCTGGCAGCTGCTACTCAGCTCCCATCACTACCCTCCCAATGTTGCCTGCTTTTTCGGAAAGAAAGGGAATCCACATTTCCAAGTGAAACTTGCTAATGGTCTACATATTCTAAATGTTTAACTTACCGTATTTTAAGCAACAAATTGAAAAAGAAATTTTTAACCAGGAACCTAACAACAGCTGAGGGCCAGCTAAAGGTGCCCCACATTACCGCAGGGCCACATTTCCTCTGGAAATGGGACCCTAAAATTCTAATCTTTAATTTGCTGCATGGGTTAGCTCCTTGTCACAGCAGAATGAGTCTGGGGATTAGGGAGTTAGCCCCTTCCTCTCTGGCTTTTAGGGGCTACAGATGCCTGCCGGCTTCCCCCAGGCCCAGAAGGAAGGAAGGATACATCCTGCACGATGCGTTGCGTGGCTGTGTTAGGCGACTGTGAGTCTTTGAGAAGCTGCAGGACCTGCTGCAGGCCCTGTTCGTCTGGCTGCCAGTCCATGGTGCAAGGCGAGCTGCAGGGTAGGGGACGGGGGTCACCATTGGGTCCCCAGGGCTTGGTGTAAGGCACCAGGCTGAGCCCCCGGGGAGATGGCGGCGGCAGTGGAACGACATGAGCGCCCTCGGCAGACGGGCGGAGGCCACAGATCCACACCAGCCCACGTGCGGGGTCCCCTCCAGTTGCACCAACCACAGCGAAGCTGTAGCGGGCTTGGGAGAGCGGCAGGGGGATGCGGAAGCGGGCCACTGAAGGCTGTGGTGGGGCCCAGTGGACCCTCTTCGGGCCCACCGCAGAGCTTTTTTCCCAAGGAGGCCCGTGCCACCGCCCCCGGCTACCAGCCCTAAGGCTTCCGCCTCCCTCGCAGCCACTAGGCGGGGGCCCAGACACCTCTCCATCCAGGGGCTCTGCCCCAGACCGCGATACAGTGCCCCAGTCCCTGTGGTCTGCCCGGTGCTGGTACGGCCCCCGAAGATCTCCCCTCCTCCCGAAATCCAGCCCTCAAGCGCCTCCAGATCCCAGCCGCCTCCTTTGTCCTGGTCCGGTCCTCGAGCCTCCCCAGGTGCACTGTCCCAAGGCGCTCCTATCGTCCTGATCCCTGCCGCCCCCTCCAAACTCAGAAAGATGCTAGACATCCCCCTTTCTGACCTACCCAGGCACCGTCCAGATACCCCTTAATCAGGCCCGAAGCAATTGCCAAACAGGTCCGCGCTGCCTCTCAGAATAAGAGCCAGTCAAGCACCCCACCCCGCGACAGAAGCCCCTTGAACGGGTCCCTGTCGCTTTCCCCGATCAGGTTTAGCCAAACCCTCCCCCCGCCCACTCCGACACCCGTCCCAGTCAGCAATAACTCCTGTTAACGGATCTCTGCTGCTCTCCTTAATAAAGTTCGGTCAATCCCCCCACCACCTCGAACCGGAAGCCCCCCCTTCATCCGATCCCAGCAGCTTTCTCCAATTAGGCCTGGCTGAACACCCCCCAGAACATTGCACCCAACGGATCCCAGCGACGCCTCGCAGTCAGACCCCGCAAAGCCCTCCAGGCCGAAGTCTGATGCCCCTCCCTATCAAGGCCCAACAAGCCCCCCCAACTTTTCAGTGAGGCCTCCCCCAATCAGACCCAAACAAGCTACGCCGAAACAGACTCCACACACCCGATCCTCGCGACGCTCCCCAATCAGGCCCTAAGCAGTTCCCAAAAGCCTCCCCCAATCACATACCCTCCAGCCCGACCCCCAGTCGCCCCACTGGCCGATTCTCAAGGTACCAGGACCTGGCTCGGGTCCGAGGCCCCACCCCCTACGCCCGGCTCCGCTTCCCCCTACCCCGCCCCGGCCCGTTCTCGCTGCCTCGCGAATCGGGCCCAACCGGGTTCTCGGCCTTTCCCGGTCAGGCGCGGCCCCGACGCCCGGGCCGCGCACGGCGCAGATCCGGAGCTTAGCGAGGGTCGACGCAAGCTGGGACCGAGCCGCTCGGTACCCGGGTGAGGCCCACTTACCGGCCTTGGACGGCAACAGCGGCGCCTTGCGCTGCGGCTTCTCCTGAGACTCGCGCAGAAGGAGGGAACCAAAGAGAGGGAATGCAAAAAGATAGGGTTGATTTTCAGGCGCCAGGAATATCAACCCTCTGATTCCTTTCGGTTTCTGTTTGAAAATCTGAAAAAAAAAAAAAAAAAAAAACGGCCCTGAATGAGCCGCGGCGGCTCCCGTACGCCGTTTAAACTGTCCCAACGGATCCAATCGGAAGGGCCAGCCGTCACACGAGATATGGCACCAAGGAGACCCAGGCCCCGCCAAGGCTGGATCACGTGACCGAGGAGTTGGCGGCTCCCTTGCCTCTCTGGCCGGTCGGTCCTCCTAGTGTCTCGTTTTCTCGGCGTACCTCACGCGGGCCTGACGGCCGCTCTTAGCCAGGAGCTGAGTTTAGTGACGCGTGGGGACTTTCGGGGTGTGCTTGACCCGGGAACCCCTCAGCCAGAGCAAACGAGCCTTTGTCAACTCCTCTAAGAAGTGAACCGTACGTCCTTCCTCCTATCCAGAGGGGGTACTCGGGAGAAGTACAGTATGTGCACGCAAAGAAAAAGCGGGGTCTGGGGAGGGGAGGTAGTGAGCCTGGGGTGGACTTTACCCCAGACAAAGGAAGGAAAGCCAGACAAGGAGGGTGTCGGAAACGGGCTGCGTTCCTACGGAAGTCTCTGCCACATTTTGCGTTATTTTCCAGCACTGTATGACACTTTTTACAAGAATATGAAAAGCTTACAAGGACATAAAATTATAAATGGAATGAATTAATACAATAAGCTGGAACAAAAAACCTAATCTCTTTCCCTACCTGAGCTGAATAAAGTGGAAAAGCCCAGGAAATGTTGGCAAGGTCAGGGTCATGAAGGTATGTTCGTGATCCTTGCACCATCTGAGGACAAAGCAGGGCACTTCGTTCTCTTAAGAGCGAAGAAGCAACGGAGTAAGAAGCGTTTGGAGACACTGGAGCGTCTTGGTTTCCCTCCTCCCGGTCCTGCCGATAACAGGACCTCCAGCCGTTCAGAGCCTTAGTTTCCCCACTTGTCAAATGGGTATAAGAATAGTTTGGCTGAGCTAGAGATTATCCAAGTTAAGCATTACCAGGCCTGATGTAAATTCTTTAAAAAGTTGGCTTTTATGTCGGGAGGCTCAAGGCCGTCCTTTCACTGTATTCAGCCCCTCCCTAAACCAATATTTACTGAATTTAGTAAATCAACTAAGGTTCTAATCCCAAAGAACGATCCAATCCTGCCCTGAGGGACTTTCTGGCCTTTGAAGAGGCACAAGGTCAGTTTCTGCCCTAACCTGGAGGGGCACAGGTTTCTCAGCCCGCTTGCCGTTGGCAGAGTCAGTGCTGGCTCCATTCGCTCATGAAAACAGGTACCCAAGACTTCTTCTGCCGAGCACTGGGGCTTCCCAGGCTTGGGAAGGGTCAGCAGGTGCCTAACTGCATTCCGAGAGTCGCGAAGACTTCCTGAAGGAGCAGCCTGGACTCCCACCTCAGCGGGCTCGTCTGGACAGAAACCCAGCTTGAGAGACACGTGCGGGAAGCCGCCGGATGCGCATGCGGATTAGCCTTCCCTAGCGTGCTCCAAGCGAAGAACCACAAACCGCGTCTTGCCTCGCGCGGGCACCGCAGAGTTTACGGATCCTGGCTGAGACCCAAAATCCGGGGGAGATCCCCGGAGGTGGGCGTTGAGCAGGGAGAGTGAGATTGAGGGACTGGAGTTGGAGGTTTGGAGAGGGGTGCGAACAGTAGTTTTCTGCTCAGGTTTGGGGACTGTCCCAGATAAGGGGCATGTGGGGAGCGACTTGGAGATGCAGGAGGGAATTTGTTAATGCTCAACCTCCCTCCTACATGTTAGGTTTCCAGTGGCCCTGAGCAAGCCTCGGGGGAGGGAATCGGAGTAGAATAAAGTGACCCCTGGTGCCTGTGTAGTTCACAGTATTGGCCTTCGTTTGATCACAAAAGTCTTCTTCCCTCTCCCCGTCTGGTGTATTTGAGTACTAAATCGAGACTTTCCCCTAGTTTTTAACTACGGGTTGTCAGGTAGTTTTCCAAGTGTAATTCTCACAACTGTCCCGTGCACGGCAAACTTACTTAAACATAATTACAAGCGCTCAGTACAAAAACGAAACTGAAGGAGCTGATGTCAAACCGTGAATCTGAGACAGGAGACAAACGCCTCTCGGCTTACAACCAAGGAGCATTGGGCATCTCATCACACTGCAGCTGTGTTTAAAGGTCAGTACTTCTCAAACACAGCCCTAAACACAAGCCGATTGCTTCACCCACAGCATCAGTTTCAGCTGTTTTAAATAATGTCAGGGTTAACGTTATGAACATTGCTCTTTAGAACTTGATTCTCGAGATGCTTCTGTTTAATCCTATTTTAGAGATGAAGAGCATGAACCACAGAAAGGCTGTGACTTATCCAAGATCACACAGCTAACAGGCACCAGAATAATTGGAATCCACGATGGTGGGACTCACCAAACCCTGAATTTGGTTTTCCTCCCCGATCATACTTTTCCCATGTCGGAGCTGATGAGTGTGGGGAAGGGAGGTGCTGGGATTCCATCAGCATCTGCTGTCTCCTGACCATCCAGAATTGAGGCTGAGCCGCTGCAGGGGTGACCTAGTTCTCCCACTTGTGTTTCTTTTTAAAGACCCAATGGCTGCTGGTGGTTTTGAAGGAGGAAGCAGAGGTGGCTCCATTAGCGTCCTATGTCCCCTCCTGCCCTACTGCATCATCAAGCGGAATGTCACACGTGGGCCAGCTCACCATCCCTCAGAAAGACCTTTGAACCCATGTGGAAAATACACCAGACAAGGCTTACTGTGGTAGCAGGAAGCAAGAAGGGGCAGGTGTCCTGTTCCATAGCCAGAGAGCTCTTTCTTTGGCAAGTCAGGCATGATTTCAGCTCATGGTCTTTGCACCTGCTGTTTCTCAGCCTGGTACACTAACAGGGACCACCTTCAGAAGTTGGAACAAATGTCACATTCTTGGGTAGGCCATACCTGACCAACTTAAAATTGCCTCTCCTCTCTCATCTCAGTCCTTTCCATACTTTTTTCCACATACAAAGTGTAACTGTCTTGATGTGTTTTGTATTGTTTCTTGTCTGTTTCCTCCAACTGGGATATTAACTCTGCTAGGAGGGCACTTTTTTTTTTACTAAGGTATCACTGATACACACTCTTACAAAGCTTTCACAAGAAAGACAATGTGGTTACTACATTCACCCTTATTGTGTCCTCCCCATACCCCATTGCAGTCACTCTCCATCGTGTAGTAAGACGCCACAGTCACTACTTGTCTTCTCTGTGCTACCCTGTAGGACAGGGCATTTTGTCTGTTTTGGTGCTCAGTATTTGAAAAGCCCCACCCCCACTGGCTGGATCTGAGTCTGAGGTGAGCCAGGTGTTACCTCAGCCCTCCTCCATGTCCACTGGCCCCAGGTAACTGCTGTGATCTGCAAGTTCCGGCCCTCCCCTGATGGAAGAGGGATGGGGAGCCTGGCCTTGGGCTGGACTGTATAGTGCTGAGCTGCTCAGCATTCCTGTGTAGGAGATGGAGCCATGGTGGGGGACCCAGATGTTGTTCCAGGTCTAGCATGTTTGAGAAGGGGTCAGGAGGCAAGGGCATCTTTAAGCATTTGTGGGCTCAGTGGAGAGCAGGCAGCTTCCACCTCCACCAGGGAGAGCAATGAAGGCAGGGCACAGACGGAGCCCTCCAGAGGTACTTGGAAAGTCAGGCTTCTTTTAGGACACCCATCAACAGTCATGTTCTCCCAAGGTGGAACAAACAAGTCCCTTGTCCTTCTCTAGGCCATGTATAAATATGGGCAGGGCCAAACCCAGGTTCCCTGGGATCTGGATCCTAACCCTCCTCACTTCCTCCAGGGTGAACACCCCATTCCCTCCCCTCCCCTAGGTTCTACCCCAGAACCCCCTTCAGTGTATTTTCCAAACAGGAGCCAGAGGGAGCTGGTTAGGATAGAAAACATATCCTGTTGCTCCCCAGCACAATCTCCCACCAAAGGCTTCTCACTTAAGAATAGAGTCCCAAGTTCTCATTCTAGCACACAAGGCCCTGTATATAATCAACCCACCGAACTCGGTGTGTGGGCCTCCTTGAGGCTCCCCGTAAGGACCAGGCACTCCCCCAACTGTACACTGGCTGTTCCCTTGACTTGGGACAGGCTTCCTCACCCAATTCAGGACTCTGATCTGATATGCATGAAATAGCTCCTCCCCCTAGGCTCTACCCTGAACTTCACGGATACCTCCCAAAATGGCTTCCCCTTTTTGTCTATGTCTATTTCTTTCTAGAAGAGCAGGGAGCATGCATAGTCTGTTCTGGGCACTGCTGTAGCCCCAGGGCCAGCACACAATAGGTGCTCAGTGTCTGCTGGATGAACAAATTGATAGCTTGGGCCCAGCCAAATTGGACCATGAAGAGACAATGGGACATGAGACTTGAGGAACAACAGTGTGGGGTGCAGAGTGGAGGGGAATGGGTTCCAAGGAGAGCCCAGGCCTACAGGAGGGGATGCACCCCTGTCCTCCCCACACCCCAAGTCCCCTGTTACCAGGCCAGACCCAAGCTTTTGTAGGCATGGTGACAGCCAATGGGGCAAAGCTCAGGTTGGAGGCAGTAAAGAAGGCAAACCAGGCACAGTTCCAGCACTAAGTCAAGTTCTTTACTTCCCAGAAGTGATGGCTAAAGGGAGGGAGGTGAGGTGAGAAGTGGAAGACAGAAAGAGCCAGAGAGAGCAAGGAGGTGGGGAAGGGAGAGGACAGTAAACCACTGTTCTATAAAGTCTCAGGAGGTAAGTGCTCAAGGTAAAAAAAAGAGTCCTGGAGAACCATCTGCGGCTGCAGGAAGCATCTCGTTTTCCTTCTGTGTATAAGTCCTTGGGGGGTCGGGAGAGGCTGCCGCCGCTGCCGCTGCATTAAATAGTTATGTACATCATCGCAGAGAGTCCCAGACCATGGGCAGGCGGGGGAAAGGGGTCATTTCACCAGGGGCCGAGTTTTATCATCATCGCCACACTGGTGGGCTTTGTACTTTTTCACCTCTGCCATGTACTTGGCCCATGCGTCACCTTTACTTGTTAATACCTGTGGAAGGGAACACGGGGGTGGGGTGGGGTGTTGGGAAGGGGATGCCAAAGTGGCCAAGAACTGGGGTCAGGACTCTCCAGAGACAGCTGACCCACCCCAAGTTCCCTCCAATCCACAAGATCCTGGGTTTGAGGTACAGATACCCAGAGTCAAGTTACCCCAGGAACTTGTTGCAAGCACTCTCCCCACACACCCCTACCACTCAGTACACCCAACCAAGGCCCGGGTGCTGGACAGGGAGGGACAGGGCTGGTCAGCCAGGTGCTGAGGCTAGAAAGGAAAGGCAACATGGGCAGCCCGCACACCCAGTCTGCTCACCTCATCCTCCGTCTTCTGCTTCTTGGCTACTATTCCCGTCTTGAGGGCTAGTTTGTTCCCGCCTCTGCGCTTGCCCACCTGGGTGAAGGGACAGAAGACTGCAACGGTTACAGGAGCCGGGCCCGCCCTTGGCGGCGCTGAGGCCCACTACACCTTCCTAGCCCGGCCCGGTGGCCCGTCCCGACGCCGCGCCCAGCTCCACCAGCCGGCCGACCTGCGCAGCAATCAGAGAGGAGCACACGCGACTCTTAGCGCCTGCCCCAGACCCATGATGTCCAGGCAGTTCTGGGCCCCTGGGCTGGCCTCCCTGGGAGCAAGAACCCCCTCGTTGGTGGGGATGGGTTCGGTCCTCCTGCCGAAGCCTCACTCACCAGCTAGCAGGACCACACAGGCAGCAACAGCTCCCTTTAGTGAGTACTTCCTGTATGCTAAGCCCTGTGCCAAGTGCTCTGGATGCATCCTGTCCTTGCAAGCTGCTCTGAGATGAAGATTACAACCAGCCCCATTTTATAGATAAGAAACACCTTTGAGAAGGAGCGGCCCAGACCCTCACTCATGCTGGCAGCAAACAATGGGGCAGGGTTCAGGGTCAGGAGGATCCAAGCCACAGAGCGGCAGCCTTAACCACCAAGCGACAGACACTCCCTTCCTGGCACTTAACCTGGCCTCTTTGAGAGTGGCCCCGCAAGCCCCTCAATGAACAAATGAAAAAGGCAGCGACAATTACTGCTACACATGCTCACAGAAGGGCACCTGGTTCGGGCCCCAGTTTTCCCACCAAACCAGAAACCCAGGTCCTGACATTTCCCTTCCTCCAATAGTCTTACTCTGGACTTCCTTACTGGTCCTCCATCTTCTCCCTCTGACTGAAGGCTCCCCGTGCCCGTTGGGCTGCAACAGGCTTTACAGACATCATACCTCACCAGGATCAGGTGACCTGCGCTGCAGAGACCATCCTCAAGCTCATTTTAAACAAATTAACTGAGGCTTGGAGATCACTTGCCTAAAATCACACTGTTAAATCCAGGACTAGACTTCCAGCTTGTTATCCTAAAATTAATACTTTCTCCACACCACAGGGATTTGATCTCAATACCAGGGACTGAGCAAGCTCAGAGTTGACCATCAATATAGATGCCATTTATTTAGCCTTGAGTTTCTCAACCTCAACTAATGACATTTTTAGGCTGGATTATTTTTGCAGGAGAGGAGGCAGCTGTCCTGTGCATTGATGTTGAACAGCATCTCTTTTCTCTACTCATAGATGTCAAAAGCATTCCCTCCCCCAATTCTGGGAGACAAAAACGTCTCCAGGCTGCCAATGTTGAGGGCGAGGGCATATGGTCCCAACTGAGAACCACTAGTTTAGCCCTTCTTAAAAACAGTCCCAGTTCTAACCACTTTTCCAGGATGGCCTCACCGAATTCTCATCGCATCAAAAGAGGCGATGATGTCCATTTCTGCAAATAGGGAAATCCAAAAAAGCTGCGATCTCGACTGTCACGTCCGACATTGTATATATCTAGCACCCAGCACAATGTCCAGCACAAGATAAGGTGATCAATAAATAGAGACTGGACGAATGGGATTCAGGGAAATCAAATTTCCTGAGGTCACACCGTAAGCGGTCTGTTATCCACACATATCAGACTTCAGATTTAAATTTGTCCCCTTCCGCACAGCGGGAGATGGCCCCAATATCCAAATTCGGATGCCGCTCAAGTGGAAAATCTGGTATCCTGGTTTCCCCATCCCCGAAGTGCTGTTTCCAATGCAATTCCATGCTCCAGGCTCCCGCGGGAAGGCTTCAGGGGTCCCCAGGGGTCCCCACCCTCGCTCGTCGGGAATCCAGGTTCCGCATCCTCAGCGGGCAACCCGGAAGACCCCCTCATCAGGGCGGGAGGGTGGATCCGGATCCCGCTCCCCTTTCTGAGGCCCCGATTCCCCCTGCCAAGGCAGGCCCTGCAGCCCGCCCCCACCCCCGCGCCTCCTTACGAAGCTGAGTGTGGAGCCCGGGCCGCCCTTCCTCTTCGGATCCCCGGGGCCGGCGGCGCCTGCCGGCTGATCGGGTCGCGGCAGGCCCGGGGGCGGCTCCTCCTGCCGCTGCCGCTGCTCCTCCTCCATCTTCCGTTTGAACAGCTCCAGGAAGCTCCCGTCGTTGGCGAACAAGTTTACGCCGCCCGACACTGGGCTTGAACCCGCGCCCGACACCTCCTCGTCCCCACTGTCGGGGGACGTCCCGGGCCCCGATTCAACCCATCGGCAACCTCCGCTGCCGCCGCCCGCGGGGCCCGGCGCCTCCCGGCCCGGAGGCTCCGCCCGTCTCCCTCGGGCAGCCATTTTGTCGTCAGGTGCCGTGCAAAGGACTCCGGGAAGGCCGCTCGGGCCCGCGCTTGGCGCCCGAGTGGTCGCGTCCCGGGCAATGCATGCCGGGAACAGCGGTCCGGACCTCGCGTCCGCAGTGGAGGCGGGGCATGAAGGGCGGGGCGAATGAGAGGTAAAATCTTATTTGCCGGGCTGCACCACCAGGAGTTTTATAATCCCGCTAGATTTGGGCAGGAGGGACGCAGACATGGGTTTGGCGGGAATGAGACCTTCGTCGGGGACTGAGGCTGTAGCTGGCTCTCCGGCGGTGAGGTTTCCGCTTGGGACTGGGGACACATTAGCATTCTGCAGGTAGGACCCCCTTCTGGCAACAGAGATAATCTGTGAGGGAAGGGACCCCGTCTGAGACTGTGTGCTCAACTGACATCTCGGAACCTAGGTCCGTAACTAGGTCTAGAGGACATACCTAGTCTGAGCCTCCCGACTAAAAATGGGGGTGTCTGTGGAGTACCTGTCTGTGGATGGAACTTTCAGTTGGGAATAGAGACATCTGGCGGTCCCCATCCGAGAGTAAAAGCATTATTTTATAAGATGAAGTACTGAAGTGAAGTCAGAGGTATTTCTAGGATGGAGTCCTCCATCTAAGGTTAAGGGTGTCCGCTAAGGGCCTGAGACACAGTTTGTATTCCTGCCCAAGAGAGAAATTCAAACGGGGAAATCGCCGAACTGGAGCTTTCCCTCGAACAGAGAGCAAAGTGCAAGGAGTTTTCGGGAATAGAGTCCCTCCTACGACAATGATCGCGGTTGTAGGTGGGGTCCCTGTTCCTGGCCTGCCCCAGCATGGGCCAGGGCTCAGAGCACAATGCACAGGGATTTGTGGACCCTGCCCACAGCTGGAGTCGTTCTCCCTCTAACCCACCCGCAGCCCCGGGACCTGTCTCCAGCCAACTAATCGGTTCATTTATGGTTGGTTTGCGTCAGGAGCCAGGTGTCTTATAGCCAATTGCCGAACAGGAGACGGCCCTGAGACGATGTCAGGACACTAAGTGGAGAATAGGGGAAATGATCGACATGAAGTTGAGCCTATGGAGTCAGGCCAGGGCGGATCTGGGATCTAACTTCAGGGAATGGGCCTGGACCTAGTGTTTGGCTGGTTGCTAAGGAGTGGTTGGCGGCTACCGGGACGTGAGAGTGATTGGTGAAAGTGGAAAAAGGCATAGTCAATAAAAGAAGAGCGGCAAGACTCACAGTCCAATCAGTGAAGGGGAGGAGCCTGGAATGTACCATTGTGTTAACTAGGCAGGGGAGTCTTTTAAAAAACATCGACAAGAGATCAACAAGGTGAATCCTGGAGGCGGAGGACATTAGAAATATGGATCCTACTAGCTCCTAAAAGTCAGACTGTGAGGAAGTTAATTCTGGTTCCTAGCTTTAATGGCGATGTGACAAACAATTCCCCCTTGGGTACTTTGCACGGTGAGCTCCGCTTGATCATGTGACCCGATTCCAAGATGGCGACAGGAGTGGCTGGTTGGGGGGCTGAAGCAGACGAGTTCGAGGATGCCCCTGATGTGGAGCCTCTGGAGCCCACGCTTAGCAACATCATCGAGCAGCGCAGTCTTAAGTGGATCTTCGTCGGGGGCAAGGGTGGCGTTGGCAAGACCACCTGCAGGTAAGGAGGCTGCGGCGGGGGCCGGGAAGACACGTGGGATGTACCACTGGGCTAAGGGAAGGCCAAAGCCGGGCGAGCGGGCTGGGCCGGAGTCTTCTGGGTTTTACTATCCAGAAGTTACCTGGAGCAATGGAAGACACCGTCTGAATGGAGGCCTGGCACTCCGAGTTGGACCATCCCCGTATGAGGCTCAAAGGCCGAACCACATTGAACTGAGCGCACGGGGGCCGGGAGAGCGCTTAACGTGTGCGTTAGCTAGACCGTACCAGAGTGAGCTCAGAGTAGAGGGAGAGGCACTGGGGCAAATTACCCTAGTCTAGTGAACCTTGCCGTTCTATACCTACGTTGGGGTGGGGGTGGAAGGCAGGGAAGGCACATGATTAAACTATCCCAGTCAGCTGGGAGTGGGACGAGTCCCTGGGGCAGATTATCCTAGACCAGTGGACTGAACATCCTGAGTTTAGCAGAAGGTGCAAAAGACCCCTTAGCTTAGCGTTGAAGAAGGGGTCGTGGGGTCAAACTATGCTGGCTGAACATCTGGACCGTGCCACTCTACAAGCAAAGAAGTAGACATCAAGCCAAATCAATAGTCAGGTGAAAATAACATGCCAACCAGCTGGAGGGGTCAGTTGGTGAGGTCAGAGGGGGCCCTTCAAGGCAGGGATTGAGACTTGATCCTACAATTACCCATGTTCTCCTCTCAAGGCCCCTGCTGATCCAGGTCCCCTTCTCCTGGGCTCTACAACTTCCCTTGCAGACCTAGGGAGCAGAGCCTGACTCCCTCACTCCCTGCCTTTTGACCTTTCCCTTGACCAGCTGCAGCCTAGCGGTCCAGCTATCCAAGGGGCGGGAGAGTGTTCTGATCATCTCCACTGACCCAGCCCACAACATCTCGGATGCATTTGACCAGAAGTTCTCCAAGGTGCCTACCAAGGTCAAAGGCTATGATAACCTCTTCGCCATGGTGAGTGGAGCAGGACTCAGCTTCCCACTCCAGCAAAGGCCCTTTCAGACCTCTCCTGTGAACATGCATATCCTGTCCATTCAACAATCTCTGTCTCTCCAGTTTCACCCCTTTGCCAGCATACCCACAGGGGAACAAAAGAGGAATGTTTCCCCATCAGGAAGGACACCAGAGTGACCAGAGATTAGCAAGTGAGAGGGGAAGGGAGGAGAATATCAGAGCCACAAGGTATAGGACTTTGCAGATCACTGCTGAGTGGTTTGGTTTTGATTGCAAGTTTAATGGGGAGCTCTTCGTTTTAAGCAGGGCAATGTCATGACCAAATTGATTTTTCCAAAAGTTTCCAGTGGCTGACATGTGGAATATGGATTGCAAGTCAAAGACAGAAGCAGGGAGACTAATGAGAGTGGGACTGTGACCAGGGAAGAGGGCAGAAAATTGAGAGAAATAGTCAAATTTGGGCTCTCAGAAGTAAAGCAATACAACGGCTTGGTTGTAATGAACGAGGGAAAGAAATGAATTAAGTACATGTCTTAGTTGGCTCCCTGAGCAGCTGGGATGGGGAAGACTAGGAGAGGAGCAGGTTTAGAAGGAACAAATCAGCAATTCCATTTTGGCTACAGTGAATCCAGTCTGCCTACTGGACTTCCAAGTGGATACTACATCAGGACAGTAGCTTAGTTTCATTCAGTCTGCAAGCCAGGGACTCACAGGAGATTAGCCTGGATTTGGGAGCCATTGTCCCAGGAGTGGTATCTACAGCTGCCTGAATGGAGGAGAATGTGAGAGGACAAAGAAGCCGAGCAACAACCCAAGGGCACATCAGCATTTAGGGTCCAGCAGAGGAGGAGGAGGAAGCAGTGAAGGAGGACAAGGAGTCACCGGTGAGGTGGGAGGAAAGCCAGAGGGTTTGGGCTCCTAAGCGCCTCAGGCAGGAAAAGGTTGTTGGCTCCAGCAGGCACATCAGTTTTAGACACCATCCTGGGAGGAGGGGCAAAGCCTGCCTGGAGATAGTAATCCAAGGCTCAGGAGACAATGATTGCCATGATGGGGGCTGAGAATGGGGTCATTGCTGGGGAGAAATGGGAGGCAGGGTGTACAGTGCACTCTTTTGGAGGAAGGAGACACTAGGGCATGTTTGTTTGCTGATACAGATGCTCCAAAAGGGAGGGTCACGTGATGTTGCAGGAGGGCATGAGGATGCTGGCTGAAGACGTCCTTTGGTGGGCTTAAGCTCTGTCCAGCACGCAGACCCAGGGCTTGTGCTCTGCCAGGGCTGGGGATGTGGGCGCATTTTCTAGGGGGAGATGAGAGTGTTGGAATCTGGTAGCTTTTCTTTCTCACTAAGACACAGGCAGGGCACAGTGTCAACAGAGTGCAGTAAGCAAATGGGACAGAAGGGTTTTGAGGAGGGAGAATTTGTGACATAAATGCTCCCAAAGGTGGGTTTTCTAGCTTACCAAGTGCCGTTGGAAATCTGTATCAGGAATGGGGCACAAGGCAAGAGTTACTCATCAGGTCTGTTCCCCTGCTGTTCGCCTCTGTGCAGCTGTACCAGTGAGCTGGGAATAGGCATACCAGTGTGGGGACTTTGCCAACCCCTGAGGGAAAGGGGAACGGATGCCAACCGAGAAGGACACTTGACACTGAGCACAGGGGTAGTTGGTATGAGGACAGGGTGGCCCAGAGAGGTTTAAATAACAGAGGAAGACAAGGAGACCCAGGCCAGAGAGTGGGATATGGGTGGTTGGAGGTGGCCCAGTGATTAGGAGTCACCCATCAAGAGTGTGGTTGTAGGTGGTGATGGGTGGGCAAGCTCCCAGCAGAGAAATGACTCATGGGGCAGAAAATTGGGGGCTTCACCAGGTGACCTGTGAGGTCCCCAAAGAGGTGATACAGGGGGAGGATAGAGGCATTCAGTCCATGATGGGCCAGGGTCCCCAGGGATGGTCATACCTTCAGATTCCACATCCATGTTGAGGACCCTTCAGTCTGCCAACCATTTCCAGGCACTGGGGACACAGCAGTGAAGCAGACAGAAAACCCCTGCCCTTGTGGGGCTGACATTCTGCTGTGGACACAGGTGCTAAACGTAATAAGTAAACCATGCTAGGAGGGGTTAGATATTAAGGAGAAAGGACAGCAGGTCTGGGGTCGCACTGTTAGATGGGGTGGTCAAGGGAAGACTCCCGTTAGAAGAATGATCTGGAGGAGGTCAAGGGCCTCAGAGGGTGGAGGGGGGATGAACACCCAGTGCAAAGGCCTTGTGGTGGGCTTATCTTCCCTCCGGGGCACTCATCGGTTGCAGTTTTCCATCTGTTTGTGAAATGGTTTAACCATTTGTTCAACCGCCCGAGACCTTAAGTGCCTGAGGGAGGACGGTGGCAACTCGTGGATGTCCCCAGCCATGACCTGATGAGAGGGGCTCTGTGATGGCCGCCGGCCCTGGTCTACTGCTGGCCTGGCCTGGATCCCGGGCAGGAAGGTCGGGCAGCAGCAGCAGCCTGAGTCTCGAATCCTCGGCCCCCCCAGGAAATTGACCCCAGCCTTGGTGTGGCCGAGCTGCCCGATGAGTTCTTCGAAGAGGACAACATGCTCAGCATGGGCAAGAAGATGATGCAGGAGGCCATGAGTGCCTTCCCAGGCATCGACGAGGCCATGAGCTATGCAGAGGTCATGAGGTCAGGCCTGGCCAGCGGGGGTGGGTGCTGCCAGGGGCTGGGGCGGAAGTCGGGGCTGAGCAGGCCTGACCCCCATCTCTCTGCAGGTTGGTGAAGGGCATGAACTTCTCAGTGGTGGTGTTTGACACGGCGCCTACAGGCCACACACTGAGGCTGCTCAACTTCCCCACCATCGTCGAGCGGGGCCTGGGCCGCCTCATGCAGATCAAGAACCAGATCAGCCCCTTCATCTCACAGGCAGGCAGGGCCCCAGGGCATCCAGGAGTTCCCTGGGTCAGAGTGGGTCCCCAGGCGCCCAGCTGTGCATTGACAAAGACCTTTCCCACACATGGCCCCTTTCTGGTCCACACTTCCCGGTGGGTGGGTTCATCTTCACCATGGGGGGACTGTCCCTACTATTCCACAGGATTCAGAGTCCCCGCCCTCTGCCCACTGTAAGTGTTTCACACGCAGCTTGGAAATATGCTAGAGCCAGGTAGTCTGGGTTCAAAGGTCCTGCACTCTGGTGTCACACGGCTATGTGACCTCAAGCAAATCATGTCACTCCTCTGGGCCTCACCTTCCTTGTCTGTCAATGGAAAGCAGGCAAGTGCTTCCCGTGGGTTATTAGCATGACAACCTGGCAACCCCAGTGCTCCCCCCACACCCCCACTTATGCACACGGTGGTGTGTAGTCCCTGTACAGAACCGGTGCCTCTGATAGAAACATCTGCGGGCCACTGTGTGCTAGGAAGTGCTCTGAGTACATTATGTGTGTCAGCTCCTTTGGCACAACTCTTGGAAGGAAAGGAAGGGAAACAGGCTCTGGGCAGTGAAACTCCTCTGGCCACAGTCCCCCAGAAATGGCAGAACTAGGATTCAGCTCCTGCGGTCTGCCTGAGGGCCCATGCCTTTGACCACTGGGAGGTGTCAGGTGTCAGCCCCCCCACGTGTTTAGCGAGCTCCCAACTTGGGTTGTAATGGGCCCCAGGTTAGCCATGAGCCTTCCCATGTCCTCCCTGCAGATGTGCAATATGCTGGGCCTAGGGGACATGAACGCAGACCAGCTGGCCTCCAAGTTGGAGGAGACGTTGCCTGTCATCCGCTCCGTCAGTGAGCAGTTCAAGGACCCTGTGAGTTGCTGTCCAGTTGGGTGGTGAGAGGCTTAGACAGGGACATGGCCAGAACCTGCCCCACAATGTCCTCTCATGCCCTGCAGGAGCAGACGACTTTCATCTGCGTGTGCATTGCTGAGTTCCTGTCCCTGTACGAGACGGAGCGGCTGATCCAGGAGCTGGCCAAGTGCAGGATCGACACACACAATATCATCGTCAACCAACTCGTCTTCCCTGACCCTGAGAAGCCCTGCAAGATGTGTGAGGCCCGCCACAAGATCCAGGCCAAGTACCTGGACCAGGTGCGCATACCCAACCTCCTGCCTGGCCCCCACGGCTCTGACCCTCGAGGCTGGAGGCTGGGGCCTGGCCCAGCCCAACCAAGGCACCACCTGCCATTTCCCATATCTGATCTTTTGCTCCGTCCCACCTTCTGATCCTCTAACTCCTGCCCTTCACCCTACTTCAGTCCCGCCACCCTAATTCTGGCCCTTGAGGACTGTGCCTGGCTCTGACCCTGGAAGCAGGAGGTCCAGCCCAGTGATTTCTGACCTCCCCGGCCCATTCTCCACCCTACCCCTTCCATGGACCCACACGCTTTCCCTGCCCTGTGGCCTCCTGACTGCTGCCCTCCACCTTCTGCTCTGGCCACAGATGGAGGACCTATACGAAGACTTCCACATCGTGAAGCTGCCACTGCTGCCGCATGAGGTGCGGGGGGCAGACAAAGTCAACACCTTCTCTGCCCTTCTCCTGGAGCCCTACAAGCCCCCCAGTGCCCAGTAGCTCCATCGCCAGCCCCAGCTGCTGCCATTTCACACTTACCCTCCACCCATTACCAGGCCAGAGTTTGCACAAAGTTCCCCCAGAGTACAGGGGGAGCCATGTTGGGGGCAGGAGGCAGGGAAGGATACTGTTCCCCCTGGTGGGGCCAGGGGAGCTGTAGCTGCCCCCCACCTCTCCCTGCCTCTTGCCCCTCAATAAAATGATCTTAAACCACTGTGGATGTTGACATAGAGGGTTTGGGAGTCAGTGCCTCCATGTGTAGTTGCATAGGTTGTACACTGCACAAAGATGACACATCTAGAGGGGCACAGTCACAACAGAGACCTAATAGAGATGCATGTTGATTGTGGCAATTTTGGAAGGAGGGTGACTTCAGTCAGGGATAACTTTTCCTAGCTCTATATGGGTAGGGGTGTCCCTTCTGGGGTTGTAAAACCTGGAGTGGGTGAAAGGCATCTGCCCACTTCCTTTAAGGCTCAAAGCGTGGGAACCCGGAGGGCCCTTGGCCAGCCCCAGGCTGGTGGGGAGCAGATTAGGCCGGCAGCGGGCCCACACTGCCTGCTGTTTGGTTTAGGAATTAGTAGGCGCCCTGGGCTGAGGCTGGGCCTGCCAAACAGGATTAACAGTCTGCTTCCCAATTCCTGTCCCTGTAAGATGACGTCAACCCCTCACAGCACAGGGGGGCTAATTAGGGAGCAGGATGTCAGAAGGCTAAGGCTGGAGGGGTCCCCCAGGTCCCATCCTTCTTCCAGAACTGTCTCCCTGAGTGGCCTGCAATTTGAATTTCAGTGTGGCCATTCACAGGCATGGAACTAATTCACCTGACTCTAGGAGGCACCTAGCAGCCCCTATCTCCTTCACTCCTCTCTCTGCTGCTCTCTGGAGAGCCCCTGAACTGGGTATGATCTTGGGTGTTGACAAGTTCTGAGCTAGAGCTAGTTGGGGTCAACAGAAGGGGGGTGCCTGAGGACATGCATGAGTCAGGAAGTGGTATTCAGACTGCACACCCAGGGTCTGAGCGTGCCAGAGGGTGCGGTAAGGGGAATCTCAGCCACGAGCCTAGACGTGTCCCCCTACTCGTTTCTACTGGGTGTGCACAAGTGGGTGTGGACATGGGGTGGCCTTTGTAAGCCAAACATGGTGGCAGAGACCCCACGCTTCCAGCCAAGCTGCCTGGGTTCAGGTACCAGCTGTGCCACGAATGAGCTGTATGTCATCTGAGCCTCAGTTTTCCCTATCTGCATAGGAGAAATAAAAGCACCAACTAAACATGCCAGCTTGTAAGGCTTCAATGAGATGAAATAAGTAATGCTTTTGCAACAGCATCAGGCATGTACTGCCAGGGAGTGTTTGTTATTACTCACTGTTACAATTATTAAGCATGTCAACTAGCCCGGGCAGCCTGCCCCCAGCCCAGCAGGAGTCCAGCAGTCAGAAGTGTCTGGGAACACGTGAGCTGGGGGACGGGACACAAGCAGGTGGTACGAAGTAGCAGCAGTGTGTGGATGCATCCTAGGGAGTGGGGGCCTCTGGTGAGAAATGGAGCCCATAACTTAAAGCCTGTCCCCTCCCCAGGACCCAAAGCTAGCAGTGCCATCCCCTCACCCCTTTTTATGGGCTGTCCAGCAGCTGGACAGCGGAGGGTCGGCCGAGGGTGACCAGCCTGGGCCAGTTCCTAATTACTCTGGGCGGGGCGGACAACTGCCAGGTTGGGAACACAGTGTCCTGGCCCAGCAAGACTTAAGGGCGGAGCTTTGAGGAGCCATCTGCACTCCTAGCACATGGTAGGACTTGAGGGGCTCAGGGACACCCCAGGGTACCCCTCTTGGGGCTGGAACCTTAAGCCTCCACCCTTACCACATCAGGCTACATGTTTGAGGTCAGGGATAGGGATGCTATTTGTGCTAGGCTGGGAATGCCACCTTCGCAGGTGTGCCTATGAAGGGGAAACATCTGTCCTGCACCCAAGTCAAATGAGAGGAAAAGGTTTTGGGTCCCTAAGCTTGTGTGTCCATGGCAAAGCTGAGAGTGTTGGAGTATGTGCCCCAAAGTGAAGGCTTGTTGGGGAAGGCGCTATATTGATGGGCAGATGAGTTTCAGGAGAGATTCTGTGGAGACCCCATCGGGATGTGACCCTCAGAGTCTGTGGGACTGTTGGGGGAGGAGTCACTGTTGTATGGAGTGTCTTTGCAACACTGGTGAATATCAGGGACAGCAGGCCCCTGCTCTGACTCCAGGACCATGTGCCTCTGTATGGAAGGCTGATGTTACTGCATCTGGTGTGTGACCACGAGTGTGTGTGTGTGCAGGAGTGATTAGGAGTGAATGCAGGCTACCTGCCCCTGTGACACTGTGTGGCTGTGTGTGGAAAGGCGTTCTGGGATCTGGTTGTGTGACCTTGCACGTGTCTTTGTTACGTGGTCTGATCACAAGAGAATGCAGGGTCCCTTGCTCCCAGCTCATGTGCTCCTGGGTGGTGGTTTGGAGCGCTGTGTGGGCCCCCAGGAGCTGAGAACCTAGTAGCTTAGTGTCCATCTGCCTTATATCTGGATGTTGGGAGTGGGGATAGAGCTAGGTGTGTCTTGTGTGACTTTCGAAGTCCTTGTGACAGTGTGTACTGCCCTCTCTGTCACTGTGGCTGTGTTGCACTGAGGGAGGCAGAATTTGGGTCTGGGTCTATGTGTGACAGCATGTGACCACAGGTGAGCAGTGTCTGTGTCCCAGGCTGGGAAGGAGACGCTCCCTGCCCCCTCCCCTAACTCTAGGTCCAAGATTCCTTGGAACTGCCAGTCACTGATTGAGAGAGACAGAGGAGGAGCAAGGGAGGACAGGGAGGATTTCTCCCCCTGCCCTGGCTAACAAGTGGCAAGACTTCTCCAAACAAAGTTCTGAGGCTGCAGCAGAGGGGGGCGGGCCAGGGAGGGGCCACCCACACCCACTCCCCAGCTCCCTCCCACCCAACTGCTGGAGCCATCCGCCCATTCTGTCCCTGTGCCCGGGTGTCCCTGCACACGCTGTAAGGTGAGAAGGGCCCTGGGTATGGAGGCAGGAATCCATCATTGTCCTCAGGGTGGGGAGTGAAGGGCCTGGAAGACTGGAAAATGGACAGAGGGAAAGTCAAGGTGGGTCCAGCAGAAAGGGGAGGGGCAGAGCCAGGGCAATTAAGTGGATGGTAGACAGGCTGGGGCAGCTGTGCAGGACAACATGTCAGCCTGAGGGAGGGAGCCTGGGAGGCAGCTGTGGGGACGAAAAGCCAGCCTGAGGGCAGGGGGCCTGGAGGATGGGAGCTGAGGGGGTCGGTGGGGGGGCGCTTGAGGACAGAGCTTTGGAGGGTTCAGAAAGGAGTGCAGGGGTAGAGAATGGGCCAAGACTGGGAGCTATGTAGGTGGCCTGAGGGGGGTGGGGGCCAGAGGGAGAGGGAGGGGGACGTAGGAGCACGAGGAAGGGGGTGGCTTAGGACAATGGGCTTGGGGAGGAGGACTAGGGGCTAGGGTGGGAATGAGCAGGGCTGGGAGGAAATGGGAACCAAGGCAAAGGACAGACCGAGTAAGTGGCCCCAGTGTGGGAGGGGACACCGGGGTGAGTGGCGCCACATCTCTCCAGTCCTGCTCGCAGCCTCCAGCCCGGCTCCCGACTCCTTGGACGGCAGGACGGGGTCCTGTCCAGCCCATCTCCTCTGGCCCAACGGCGGGGCGCCACGATGACAGTCACATACACCAACCGCGTGGCCAACGCGCGCTTCGGCGGCTTCTCGCAGCTGCTGCTGCTCTGGCGCGGGAGCATCTACAAACTTCTGTGGCGCGAGCTACTCTTTTTCCTCGGGCTGTACATGGCGCTGAGTGCCGCCTATCGGTGAGGCAGCCGGGGAGGGGCGTCGGAGGGGCAGGGAGGGGGCCGCGGGAAGAGAGATCTACGGCTGGTGATGGTGGGAGGACTCGCCCGTGACCCCGCGGACCCTGCCTCGCAGCTTCATGCTGACCGAAGGACAGAAGCGCTACTTTGAGAAGCTCGTCATTTACTGTGACCAGTACGCCAGCCTCATACCCGTCTCTTTTGTGCTCGGTGCGTTCTGGCCTCTGAGAACCCCGTTCCTCTGATCCTGAGAAACCCATTCCATCCATGCTTTTTGGAGACCCCCATGCCTGCCCCTCTGGGGCCCCCTCCTCAAATCCAACCCCCACAGACTCCCATTTCCATATCCTTCATGCCAGATGTGTTCTCTCTCCTGAAGACCTTGGATGTCACCTGGTCAATGCTCCCGTGAGAGCCCTGTGTCACCCACAGGCTTATCCCCTCAAATGTCTTCATGAGATTACTAGTGCCTCCCACACGTCCTGGACCCAGGGACACCATATAAGTCCAGCCTCTCAGTCTAGCCTGAGGGACATTTTTCTGACAAATACTGGCCCCCTAGTCCTCTGTGACTTCACCTGACCCCATTTCAGGTCCCATACTCCCAGGTGAGAATCTCCTTGTGACCATAAACAACCTGCCTCTGTGCCCTTAACATGGACCCTGTGTCTCCACCTCCATACTGGGGTCTCAATCCCTCATCCCAGGTGACATCCAAATAGCCAGGGTGACCCAGCCTGCTCTTGCCTTTCTGACCTCAGGGCTGGGACCCCCCTAAGTTCCAAGACCAGGTGTCCCCAAGTGGTCAGAGTGACCACCCTGCTCGGTGTCCTGGATGCAGACCCTATGTTACCTTTTCCCACAACCTGTGCCCCCAAGTTCCTGGCCCTAGTGTCCTACTGAGCCCCCCATTCCTGTCTCTCCCGCAGGCTTCTACGTAACCCTGGTGGTGCACCGCTGGTGGAACCAGTACCTATGCATGCCCCTGCCCGATGCGCTCATGTGCGTGGTGGCGGGCACGGTGCACGGGCGCGACGAGCGCGGCCGCCTCTACCGGCGTACGCTCATGCGCTACGCAGGGCTCTCGGCTGTGCTCATCCTGCGCTCCGTCAGCACCGCGGTCTTCAAGCGCTTCCCTACCATAGACCACGTGGTGGAGGCCGGTGAGTCTTAGGCCAGAGTGGGGGGGGGGCGAGGCGAGGCAGGGAAGGAGCGAGTAATCCCCCACCTCTCTTTTCTTCAGGGTTTATGACCCGAGAGGAGCGCAAGAAATTCGAGAACCTTAACTCGTCCTACAACAAGTATTGGGTGCCCTGCGTCTGGTTCTCCAACTTGGCAGCACAGGCCCGGCGTGAGGGCCGCATCCGCGACAACAGCGCCCTTAAACTGCTGCTGGAGGTGGGACTGCCAGGAGGTCATGCATATAAAATACCCAGGAAATTGTACCCCAACTAGAGTTGTGCCAGACAGCAACCTGCCACGTACCTCCCACCAGGCAGATTCCAAACACCCTTACCTAGTGGTCCCCAGATACATGCTTATCTCTAGGTGCATGGGGCCCCTATCCCAGCTGTATATTCACCTATCCCTGGAGCCCCCAGAAGTACACACTCACCTCCATTCCAGGTACCCACATTTCATCCCTATCTGTGAGCTCACAGTTCAGCTCCCCTCATGACCTGTATCCACCTCCAGGAGCTGACTGTGTTTCGGGGCAAGTGCGGAATGCTCTTTCACTACGACTGGATCAGCGTACCCCTTGTCTACACCCAGGTAACCACGCGGTGCCTCCATTTATATCTGACGTCGGAGGTCCTGACGCACTGGCCTCAAGGGGAAACTGCGGGCCAGTTAGGACCCCATCATCGTGATCCGCTGAGGTCGGGAGAACCCTGACCTGGCGACCCGACCCGCCCCCAGGTGGTGACCATCGCGGTGTACAGCTACTTCCTGGCCTGCCTCATTGGTCGCCAGTTCCTGGACCCGGCGCAGGGCTACAAGGACCACAACCTGGATCTGTTCGTGCCCATCTTCACCCTGCTGCAATTCTTCTTCTACGCCGGCTGGCTCAAGGTGGGTGGGGCCCGAGGCCCGGCCTCCGAGGATGAGGCGGGCAGGGGTTCTCAGGGCTCCGCCTACCTCCTCCCTTCAGGTAGCCGAGCAGCTCATCAACCCTTTCGGAGAGGACGACGATGACTTTGAGACCAACTTTCTGATAGACCGAAACTTCCAGGTGAGACATCTGCGTTGCGACCATCCCCAGGCACCCAAAGCAGCCCTGGCCCCACCCCCGCCAAGACTTGACCAGCTCTTGACCCCGAACCATCTTTCTCTCTTTTGCTCACCATAGTCTTAACCACCCACCTCCCGGTTACCCGCGCTTTGCCACCCCCACCCTGCCCCGCATGTCCGCGCCCACAGGTGTCAATGCTGGCCGTGGATGAGATGTACGACGACCTGGCCATGCTGGAGAAGGACCTGTACTGGGACGCAGCCGAGGCTCGCGCCCCTTACACGGCGGCCACAGCTTTCCAGATGCAGCAGCCCTCCTTCCAGGGCTCAACGTTCGACATCACGTGAGCCAGCGGAGTGGGCGGAGCCTCTTGGGGGCGGTGTTTAAGTCTGCGGGGAGTATTTAATTGAAGGAGGCTATTGTAACAGGACAGGGCAAAGAGCTTTAACTGTAGAGATTCGGGGCCAAGAGCTATAGTCTATGAGGACTAGGATGGGGGCAAGGGGCAGAGGTGGGGCTAAGGTCTGCGACCAGGCCACCAATTGGGGGCCAACCTAAGGGCTGAGGTCTATGAGGATTGGACTGGCGACCAGGGGCGGTACCAAAGAAGACGCAGCAGAGTCACAACTGAGGCTTTTAGGCCTAAATTTGAGCAGAGCCAGAGTATAAGGCCAGGCTCTCTGATGACGGGTCAAGGCTTTTTGGGATAAGTTAGACAAAGAAGTGGGTGGAGCCAGGAAAAGTAGAGTGCCTGAGTCCCAGCTGTGTCAATCAAGGAGAGGAGCGAGGTCGCAGCACTGACCCACTGTGAGTCCCGCAGGTTGGCCAAGGAGGACATGCAGTTCCAGAGGCTGGACGGCTTGGACGGGCCGCTGGGCGAAGCGCATGGCGATTTCCTACAGCGCCTCCTACCTGTGAGCGCGGGCATGGCCGCAGGGGGCCTGCTGGGCCGGCGGCTGTCCCTGCTGCGCCGCAAGAACAGCAGCGTGTCGGAGACGTCCACGGCCGTCAGCTGCGCGTGCGCGTGCGCCCCCGACGGCGCGATCCCGGAGTGCGGCTGCGGGGACCCGCTGCTCGACTCCGGCCTGCGAGAGTCGGAACTCGAATACCGCGCCGGCCCTGAGCTGCCCGCCCCCGAGCCCTTCACTATCGTGCCGGTGCCCGCGCTCCGGGGGCCGGCTCCACCCTGGCTGCCCAGCCCCATCGGCGAGGAGGAAGAAAGTCTAGCCTGAGATCTTCGGGCCCGGGATCCCCAGGGACGGGGAACCAAGTCTCCCGCAGCACGCACGCAGCGGTCTGGGTCGCGTCAGCCGAGTATGGATTCCACCTGCCCTGGATTGACCGCATCCTGCTAGCGGCCCTGCCTTCATGTGGGCACAGGGGTTTGGAGCGCCACCTGGGACCGGCACTAGGCTAAGGGCGGAGGACTCCTATGGCTTTTTTGAACCAGTCCTTATCACCAGCTCTACTTCCATACCCCTTACTGCCTCAGAGGCCTCTATCAGGATGCCTGCCTTTACTCTTTTCTTAAAAAATGGAGATGTGAGTGCCTATCTCACCAGGCTGAGAGGTTGAAATGAGGGTTTTAAAATCTTTGGTACATACAGGTGCCCAATAAAATCTTAGTGGCTTTTGCCTAATTGATCAACCCAAGTCTTCCCGCCAGGCATTATGCCAAGTAAAAATTGAAGATTCTTCCAGATTATTTGATGAGGCTCTGCCTGCTTCTTCCCGGACTCTGCTCTCTGGAATGCTCCATCAGTGTCCATGGCTTTGCTTTCATTATGGTACCAGCCACAGCCACTGAGCCACAGCTTCCTCCTGCCAGCCTTGCTGTGTGAGTCTGCAAGTGACCCATCCACCCCAAGTTTGTGTTCTCAGATGCTCCTTCAGTGCTCCAGGTCTTAATTCAGTCACATGCTAATGATTCCTGAATTTAGAAATCCAACCAGGATCCCCTCCCTGATTATAGACCCAGAGAGCCAACTGCCTGCTTGCCATCTCCATGTGGGGATCTGAACATAATGTGCCCCCAAGCCAGCTCCCTATCTGCTACCCAAACTGCGGCCCAAACTTGAGTCATCTTCCACTCGTCTCTCACTCACTCCACATCAACCCATCAGCAAATCCCATCAGCTCAGGCTTCACATTGTATCCAGAATCCAATCATTTCCCATTCTACCAAGGACCCCACCAAGGCCAAAGCCCCCATATGTCACCCACCCACCCACCTTGGACTAATGACCTCTGCTCTGGTCTCCCAGCTCTGGTCCTTACCCGCCAGTCTGTTCCTACAGCAGCCAAAAGGAGCCTATGAACATCTGTCAGGTAATGCCTCTCTTTTGGTGAGAATCCTGAATGATTCCCATCTCACTTTGAATAAAAGCTAAAATACTCCCCACAAAAGCTAAAGTAACCTGCAAAGCCCTACCCTGGCTTCCTCCCACTCTTCTCTTCCCCACACAGGCTCCTTGTTGTTCCTCTAACTCATCACGTCTCACCTCAGGGGTTTTGCACATGCTGTTCCCTCTGCCTGGATGGCTCTTCCTTCAGATATCTTCTACAAAGCCCCTCCCTCACCTCTTCCAGGTCTTTGCTTAAATGATGTTACTTCCTTGGTGAGGCCTCCTTTCCTCTTTCATTACAAATCACCACCTCCTAAATCCACTTCCTGCGTCCCCATAATTTTTGTCTGCTTTAATTTCCTCTGTAGCACTGCTCACATTAAACTTTTGTTTTATCCGTTTTGTTTATTATTTTGTCTCCCTTCATTGGAACTGATAGTGCCATGAGGCTGGGGTTTTTGACTGAAGCTTCTTCAAAAACTACCACACATGCACAGTTACAGATACAAACATGATTCTCACTCAGCTCCCACTGGATGCTGTCAGTCACTCATACTTTAGTAAGAAAGAACACAAGCTAGGCCTTTGTGAAAAACAAGGGTCTAAGTCCTTGGCCCATCTTTTCTCCCCTCAGTGCCCAGAGTCCAGCCAGGGGAGACTGAATGTCTTTATTTAATCTTTCAAGTATAAAATCACTCTCTCCTCTGGCAGCTCATTAACCCCAAGGAGAAAATCAAGGCTAAGAATCACATTGCTAAAAAGAACAGACCCGTACCTTCCTCCATCTCAGTCCTACATTCTTGCCCAATCTGGGAGAGTAAAGGACAGAGGTCATGACCTCAAGGTTCTCAAGCACATGACCAAGGCATGATGTTCAGCCCCATGTGAGTTGGGAGAATCCAGGGTGGATTAAGCCCTGACTGGCTGGGCAGGGGGCAGGATTCTGAGGTCCATCAGTGCTTATCAGTGGGGCGCACGTTCAGAGGCATTAGGCGTCCCAGGGGTCCACGGCGAGCATTAGTGGCAAGCCGCTGCTGTGCCAGGAATGACTGGGCATGGGCGGGTGCCCATTCTTCACCAGCTCGCTGCTGCAGAGCCATACCCTGGAGGGAGGGAGGGGGTACAGTAGGGGTCAGGTGAGCCTACCGCACCCAAAATACTCTAACCACGGCTAACATACACTCACCATATTATACCAGGCACTGATGAGTAGCTTTTCTTCCTGCTCCCGCTGATTCCGACTCTTCTCAAAGTCCATCTGCAGAAGAGGTAATAGTCACAGGCCTGGATATGCTGGGGGCAGCCAGGAGGGATGAGGACACCCACCTCCAAGTGCCGGATGCGAACGTCCCGCTCCCGGAGCTGTGTCCTCAGGGAATGGAGTTCTGGGGGTGCCCCTCCAGGTGGCCGCTGCTTGGGTTCCAGGGTCTGTATGACCTTGGGGTTAGAAAGGACACAGCCAGGGTGACCTTGGCTTCACAGGACATCGGACACATCGAGCTGCATGTAGTCTGACAGCTTCTGGCAGCGTGTAGAAGTCTATGATATGAAGGGCATGACAGGTGCAGGACTGGAGAGCAGAGGTGCAAACTGGCAGAGGCATGAACCAATGCAGGCAGTGGCCTCAGCAGGAGGCCTGTGGGGCAGCAATGTCCTCACCGTGCGTGCCTTGTCCACATAGCGGCGATACCGCTCTTCCATGGCCCGCAAGTCTGCATCCTTCTTCTGAAGGCTATGCTGCAGCTCCTCAATTCGACGGGCTGCTGGGGGAACAAGGTGGCCCCTCAGCTCCACACCAGGCTCACGGCTCCCCCAACTTGGCTGGCGGCTGAGTTCTACTCACTGCTGCTATCAGCAGGTGGCTCCAGCTCCTCAATATATTCCCGTTTCCGCTGCAGCTCCAGGTCTGCCTCATGCAGCTTTTGCCTGCGGACAGGGGATGGGCAGCAGCAGGCTGAACTCTGGGCCCACTTCTCCTTCCTCTCAGGGTAGCCACAGCCTTCCCAGCTGGCCAGAAGTGCCACAACCCCCCTGGACCAGTCCCTAGTCTGGTGCCCCCTGGACTAGCCCCACAACCCTCCACTTCTCCCCATTCTACAGGCAGTGGTACAGCCATGACCATCCCTTTCCAGCTTCTTCTACCCTCAATCCCTCAGTCCCATTCTCTACCCAGCAGCCAGGGATCTTCCTAGAATGCAAATCTCTCATAACAAAAATGCAAACTAAAATTCAGTTCTGCTATCTGTGGCCAAACCCCAGAGATCTGATAATATTCTCTATAGGTAAGAATATTATTGTGTGTTGGACGTGGAATGTGGTATAACATCTACCAGCGAATCCTTGGCTATGTCTATGAAAATTAAGGCATGTGCCCTCTGAATCACCAATTCCACTTCTGAGATATACATGCGCACTTTGGAGATACTGCAAGTCTGTTTGACTCCAGAACACCAGAATAAAGTGCATATCACAATAAAGTGAGTCAGATGATGTTTTTGGTTTCCCAGTGCATATAAAATTTATATTTACACCATACCGTCATCTATTAAGTATGCAATAGCATTGTGTCTTAAAAAATCTTAACTTAAAAATACTTTACTGCTAATAAACGCTATCCATCATCTGAGCTTCAGTAAGTCATAATCACTGATCACAGATCACCATAACAAGTGCAGTAATAATGAAAAAGTTTGGAATACTGCAAGATTATCAAAATGTGACACAGAGACCTTAAGTGAGCAAATACTGCTAGAAAGATGGTACCTATGTGGACTTGCTAGGCACAAGGCTGCCACAAACCTTCAATATGTAAAACATAGTATCTCCGAAGTGTAATAAAGCAAATCACAATAAAACAAAGTATGCCTGCATTTGCACACAAGTAAAATGATGTCTACACAAAGTTTGGTTTGGTTGCAAATACCTAGAAAGAATGAGCTAAATACATGATATTCACATAAAATGCTTTAGGCCAGCCCTTCTGTATCAGTATTCTGCAGAATTAAGCCCTAATGCCTCCATGTCTCCATCTTCTGTAAAGAAGTAACTTTTTCTGTGCTCTGGGTTGGCATTAGCTACATTCCATCCTTGGCAGAACTGAGCAAAGTCACTCAAGTAATTTTCTATTAGACCTAATTTCCCCATGGCACCCCAGATAACAAAGGCTGCTATATATATAAAAAATAATGACTCCCTTTTTTAATTCACATGGAGAAATTTCCTAGACATCTTGTAGAAGGACCAAAGTACTGACTAGCACATATTATGCTACATTTTGTGTAAATAAGGAATGAGAATAAAAATCTATACTCATATTCATTTGCTTAAAAACCTCTGGAAAGATTACCACAATAAACTAATAGAAGTAGGGCTGAGGTGGAAACTGGGCCAAAGGGGGATTGAGAGGTACACTCCTCTCTGTATAATCTGGTATATATTTTGGTTTTTTTAATTGTAAATGTAATAGCTATTTAAAATAGTTTAACAATGTAAAAGGGAAAAGGCGACTATCACTCTGTCACAGTACTTGCTGAAATTCCCTCCGTGCTCCCCACTGTTACCCCAAAAGTCCCTGGCTCTTTTCCTTGGCCTATAAGACCCCACTTGATCTAAGCAAGCATTTGGTCTGTGCTTCAGTGGACCTGCTGTGCTCCTAGGTAACTCCCCATTAACACCAAATCCAACCCCAAGCCTTTGCCCCCGTCTTTCCCCCCTCCAGGAGTGCTCTCCCTCTGGGACTCACAGATGTTCCTCCAGCTTCCTCTTCAGCAGGGTGGACTGCGGAAGAGAAGCAGCACTGGGTCAGTGGGGAGTCCAAAGGTTCCAAACCCTTACCGGGGTGACAGTAGGAAATGCCACCCTGGGTCCACGATACTTACAATGGACTGCACGGAGCATCGGGCAGCAGGGGGAAGAGAGAGGAGAGTTACTGGGGGTCACGAGGGAGAACCAGGCGGGGAGGAGGTGGGCACTCACGTCCTCAGTCTTGCCCCCCTGCTCCTGCAGGGCCTTCTGCAGGTCCTCCACCTGGGCCCGCAGCTCCGACAGCTGCTGCTGGTTCAGCCTACAGGAGTGGGGGCCGCTCAGAGACTGTGACTGCCCTCGGCCCCCGCTCCACGAGCGCAGGGCCCCCCTTCATCTCCGCCGGGTGGATCTTCCCCTCACCGGTGCTGTGTCTCAAGCGCGTGGCGCGCGCGGTTGGCCTCCTCCAGGTGGCGCTGCAGCTCCTCCTGCCGTTCCCGGTCGGCCGCCTCCTTCTGGCACAAGTGCTTGTTCTCCAGCTGAAGCCGCAGGAGCGTCTCCCTGCCGACCGGGGAGGAGGGAGCTGGGCTAGGAATGGGGCTCCGGCAGGGAGACTGGGAGGACGTGGGTAGGAGAAGGATGGAACCCAGGGGAAGTGCGCAGCCAGACCCAGGGATAGGATTAGTACTGGGGACCGGACCTAGGTATGGGTGGGCGGAGCTATGAGCAAAGCCTAGGGGTGGAGCCAGGTAAGGGCGGGGCCACAGAAGCTGGTTAGAAGCTGGTTAGAACCCTGGGTATACGGCTGCTAGAAAACAAGCCAGAGGAATGGGAGGAGCTGGGGGGGCGGTATTCACCTGAGCAGGGTACCGGGCACTGAGCCTAGCACGCGCTACCCTGAGGAGAGGACTGTGGTCTGTGGGGCAGGGCCTGACGTGGGCATGGGTAAGGCATGGGGTTTTTGCCTGGTGAGTGGAGCCAGGTGGGCTGGATGTAATTTACGCACTAAGGGTGGATGGATGCTGGAGATGCTAGCCACCAATGAGGCTAGATCCCCGCCGGCTACGGGCAGAAATGGAAGAGAAGCCCAGCTAGGACTTGGGAACCTGGAAGGGCAGGCCAGGGTAGCTGCAGATGCCTACACCGGAGAGGGGCTGAGAATGGGTAACTGGCAGGCCTGGGTGGAGCCAAAACTCTTAGTGACTCCAGGGTACCTGAGCTCTGCAGGTAGGATCTCGGCTGCTAAGTTTTCCACAGCAGGTGAGGTAGGATCCAATGAGGGGTCTGGAGAATGTGAGAAAAGTTTTCAGGTGGCTCTGGAGCTCTCAACCCCATCTGTAGGGTCCTCTTTCCAAGGTCTTGCCAAAGGCCAGGTTTGGCTCAAGTTTTGTCAAAGGCCAGGCTGGACAAAAACCCCAGCCCTGGCTTGACAGGGAGTGAGTTGGCTTTGCCCCACCATGAGTTCAGGAGGACAGCCCCCACTTAGCCTTCCATCAGTGTGGCCTAGACAAGCCCTGGGACTTCTATCTGCCCTGGGCCACCCCTCTTCAGGCCCTAGGGCAGGTCCGCAGCTCACCGGCCTGGGTCAGCCCCCGCGGCTGCAGCTGGGTGCAACGCAACTCGTCATTGGCCTCTCGCAGGGAGTCCCGCTCTGCCAACAGCCGCTGGAGAGACAGGTGCAAGAGGCCACTTGAGGCAGGATCGGCCTCCTGAGGAAAGGCTGTGCCTTGATGGACAGGGTGGGGCTTGAGCGGTGGGACCTCAGCCTCACCTCCTTCTCCTTTGTCACCGACTCGAACTTTTCCTCCAGATTGCGACACTCAAAAAGCCATTTCTCTGCCTTCATGGCCTCCTCCTGCCACTGGCCCTGCAGTTCCTGAACCTGAATGGAGGCAAGGGGTGAAGACTGCAGGGCTGGAAAGGAGAGGCAGGGACTGAAGAAAAAGTGAAGGAGCAGGACCAGAAAGACCAACGAGTAGCTTGGAGGGGTGGGTATTGCAAATCAAAACCGGAGCTGGCCTAAAGCTCAAGGTGGCCTACGTGGAGCGCCTTAGCACCACACGAGGGGCGCGTGTGCTGGCCTCATTCCCAGCGCCAAGTTCTCCAGGCTTTGCCCAGCGCGCACCTGCCTCCGCTGCGCCTCCAGCTGGGCGCGCAGGGAGCCAGCCCGGCGCAACTCGTCCTCCAGCTGCCGCGTGCGCTCGGCGTGGCCAGCGTTGCACTCCTCCAACTGCCGCACCTGCCGCCGCAGCTCCCTCAGCTCGCCCAAGCGGAGCCTGCAGCTGTTCAGCGTGGCCTCCAGCTGCCCCGCGCGTTCAGAGGACTGCCTGGGAGAGGGGGAAATTGGGGAAAGGGGACCAAGAGTGCAGTCAGGGTTCAGCTTGGAAGCATGTAAGGCTCTCAGGTAGGGGAAGGTGTCTTGTCAGCCTGGGGGTGACTAGGTTCAAGGTGGTAGATTATGAGGGTCTGGGATCAGCTGGGACCTGATGTTGCAGTTCATTATGGGGCATAAAGGGAGTCCTAAGCATCAATGGTTAGCCTAGAGTCACAATCAAGGATCCTTGAGGATGAAATTATGGGGACAGAGAATAACGGGGGGGTTACAAGGGAGAAGCCCTCAGGGACACTTTGGGGTGGGGAGTTGGCTGTGGGTTTGAAGGAACTGTGGGTGCAGGGCCCATGGAAGGGTCTTGGGGAGCTTTGGGGCAGAGAGAACACTACGGGGTCCTTAAAGGTAAAACAGAGGCTCCCTGGACACTAACATTACAGGGGTGCCATGTGGCCACAGGGTGCCCTTTAAGGTTACAGTGAGGTTGAAGGGTGGGTGCTGTGGGGCCCCCTCTGTGCTTTGGGGTCACAAGGTGCTGGGGAGTCATAAAATGGTAAACTCGTGTCCTAGGGGGCACAAAGGTGTCACAGGGGTAGAGAAGGGGGGCGCTATTACATTGTGGGGTCTTGGAGGGCACCATGGGATCCTAGGGCATGATGAGACTCAGAATGGTATAGTAGGGTCTGGGGAGCACTGTGGAGGGCCTGGGCTTGCTGGGGCTACAAGGATGCTCTAAAGTCTCAGGACTACAGTGTCGTTAACAGAGGGATACTGTGGGGTCCCATGGACACCTTGGATCCAGGAGGCTCAGTGGTGTTCAGGGAACATGGTGGAGTCTAGGATAGTGCAGAGGGTTTCAGGATGGCACTGCAGAGTCTAGGGGACATTATGAGGGTCTTCTGGGCACTGGGGGTTGCAGAGGTACTATGGCATCAGAGGGGCACTCTAGCAATGCGGGTGTGTGATGGGGACCCAGGGACCCACCACTCACCGCAACTCATCCATCTCATCCTTCAGGGCCTGAGCCTCCTGGGCCAGGCTGGTTAGCTCCTGGTTCCGCTGCTGCAGCTCGGTGACCTCCCGCTCCAGCTCAGCACAGCGCACATGCTCATCCTCCCTGCCACTCTCCAGCCTGGCGGGTGGGGAAGGAAGCGCCCGTGAGGGGGCTGTGCCACGTCATCCCATGGCCCTCTCTGGAGCTGAGCGCACCTGAAGTTCTCTTCCTGCAGCTGCTCCAGCTGGGATTGCAACAGCAGCAGCTTCTTGGCTGTGAGGCCGGGGGCACCCTCACCCTCAGGCTGGCCCACCTGCTGCCGCAGTGCCACATTCTCCTGTGCCAGGCTCTGCTTCTCCTCTGACAAGAGCACCAGCTGCAGGCAGGCAGCACGGATGAGCTGCAGCTTGCAGGGGGCTGTGCAGACAACCCTGCCCTGGGAGCACCCCTGGTCCCACCACCCTGGCCCCACCTGCCGCTCCAGGTCCAGACAGCGCTGCCGCAGCTCATCCCCCTCATCAGCCTCTTCACTTAGGAAGTAGTACCTGCGGGACTGATGGGGGGGAGGGCAAAGAACTCAGGGATCCCAGAGGAAGACTGGGGGAAGGGATGCTGGGATCTCTAAGGACAGACAGGAGGGGGCCAGGAAACCCTCAGGATGTTAGAAGAGAGGGCTGGAACCCCAGAGGACGAGAAGAAAGGTAACACAGGGATCCTGGGGACCTTAAAGGCTTACAGACAAGCCCCACCCCCTTACACAGCCCAGGGAATCAGTAATGGGGTGAGAAACAAGGTTCCCACCCCTTACCTGGTTATCAAAGTTCCCGTATGTCTCCAGTGACAAGGAGTCAGGAGTGTCTTTGGTCATCAGCTGAAGGGGATGTGGGAGCACAATGAGATGAGCTGAGGGAGGCCTTCCAGGCTTCCATGATCCAGCCTGAGAACCTCTCCTTTCTCCTACCCCCAAAGCCAATTCTCCCCAAAAACCCCTGCTGAAGCTGTCCTGCCATGTGTCCAGCACCCAGAGAGGCAAGGTCCTTTGAGCATGTTAGATTGAGACTTAGAGCCAGGAAGAGCTAGCAGACACATGAGACAGGGTAATCTGGCCAGCTGAGCTCCTGGCAGAACCCAGCTCTTAACCAGATAGAGCCTATGCCCGTTACCTCTGTTCTAGAGATGTTCCCTCCCCTGAGGCTCCTTGCTACACCGGCGCCTCCACCTACCTCCTGGATGGCTTTCATCACCACATGCTGAACTGATTCTTCCAGCGTCATGATTCTCTGGATGTGCTCTGGGGATCAACATGGGGGAGACTGAGACATGGCTGATGGGTGAGGAGGATGTCCTTGGGTCTTCCCCTGGGGACCCCCCAACATCCCCTACCCTGCTTTTTCTCACAACTGATGGCACAGTCTAGCACCAGCTGAAGGAGCTTGCCAAGCTCTTCTGGGTCTGAGAACTCGCCAATGAGGTTCACATCTGGAAGGTGTTGCTCCAAAATGGGATGCCCCAGGACCTGAGAATGGGGGGCAGTATTAAGGGCTCAAAGACACCCCCTTCTCTGAACCCAACCCCCTAAATCCAATCAGTTACTCACATCCTGGGAATACTCCATCAGGCTCTGTAAGATTTTCTTCAAGTTACTGACCTGAAGAGGGGCAAGGAGTTATCCAGGGTCCCAGAGCCCCCCAGAAGGGGCCCTGAATCTGTCTACCTCATTTCCCAATCCTTTGTCACCTCATCCTGTTTGTTTCTCTGCCCAAATGTCCCCTCTCCTAAGGGTGACCTGTCTGGTTGCCTGCCCTTCTTGTCCAACACCCTATTTTGTTCACATGCCCCCAGTATCCACTTTTTACTACCTACCCCATACCCTTGGATCCCAGCCACTCTCATCTCTGACCTGGATTACTGCACCTGCCCTTCCTGTCTCAGCTTCCCCTCTTGCTGACTACCTTCCTTCCTCCCCAAACACCAGAGGGAGCTTTTCAAAGCCCAAGCCAAGTCCTATCATTCCTCTGCTAAAACCCTTCCTTGACTTTGCACATCACTTAAAATAGAATCCACCTCCCTGTCCTGGCCTGCCAGGCCCCTGATGACCTCATCTACCATTCCTGCCTCCCTGCCATTTGCCAATCACAGCTAGTTTATTCCCAACTCAGGGCCTTTGCATTTGCTGTTCCCTGTGTGTGGAATACGGTTCCTCCAAATCTAACATGGAGATCAGCCAACCTGACTAACCACCCACCCACTTCCAGTTGCTCTCTCTCATGGCCCAGTTTTTATTGTTTTCGCAGGACTTACTGTTACTGGAAGTGAGGGTTTGTGTTTATGTATACTGCCTTTTGTGTTATTCCTTGCTGCACACCCAGGCTTCCCTGAGCGAATAATAAAAGAACTAATTGGCTCATCACCTCTTCCTGGCCAGGTCTGTCTGTCCATCACACAGGAGATGTGTCTAGCTAACCCTTCCCTGATCATCTCTTCACCAGTCCGTCCCCCAGTCATGAATCCACCTATCACCTTCAGCCTCCAGTTGGGACCTGGGTCGTCTGAGATGCCCTGGAGCCACGCCTCGTTGAACCAGGAAGGGTCTCTGGGGGCAAGAAGGTGGGATGAGCTGCTGGGGAACCCTTTCGGGACCCTTCCCTCAGCCCCACTCACATCTGGTTAAGCACATAGGCTATGGCGAGGCCACTGCTCAGGTCCTGGGGACTGGTACAGGGTGGCGGGACGTGGAATGTCTGCAGCTGGGGGGAGAGGAAAGGCCAACGCGCAGAGTCAGCGCCTGTAAGAAACGAACCACTCCCCTTTTGCACACTTTCTTGATCAGCAGGAACCTCTCACGGCGGGCAGGGGCTGGCCTGATGCTCCAGCACACCAGCTCCGCGGGAGTGGCCTCTGCTCACCTGGAAACAGAGGGGGGCGTGGCCTCACTTCACCTCTGCCCGATAAACCCAGTGCGACCAGGTCCGGGCTGAACCACGAGTCACCTGGTCTCCACATGACCAGGCCAGCTCACCTGTGCCCTTGCCCCACGTGACCCAGCCACGACGGGGCGGGGCCTCACCTGTTCTTTCCACGCAGACCTGCCACGCGACGGGGGCGAGGTGCTCAGGCCAGAGTCCAACGGCCCCTCAAGCAGACGACCCTTCCTCCTCCCAGCCCCAGGACGAAGGAGTGGACAGAGCCAAGGCCGGGGCTCCCGGGAGAAAAGAGCGGGCGCACACCTGACCCTGGCCCCACCCCAGACCTACCCAGGTGAGCAGAGACCCGCACAGCTCAGCCTTGTCCACACTCATGGCTCCCAATGGGATTCGACCCGGCCGCGGTGCCCCGCCACCGCAGCCGCCTGCAGATTCACCACCAGCGAGCGCCCTCAGCCCCGACCTCCCGCTCGGCCTAGAGCGCCGCCCCGCCCCGCCCCCTAGGCGCAGGCCCCGCCCCATACACGTGATCTCCCGGCGGCGGCTCAGGCCTCCAGGCCCGCCATCTTGGACCCGGGCAGCATTCGCGCGACCGCCCTGCCGCTAGGGGTCAGTCTGAGCCAGCCTTGCGCATCCCTGCCACCCCTTCTCCTTGGTCCTTTTGGGGTAGCGGAGACCTCAAGATCATTCTTCAATATCTGAGGCGGAGCCATTGCAGCCTGTTATACACGCTCGTTCATGACCTTTCCCTTCAGCTGAAGAAATCCTGCTGCATAAACACTTTGATCGGAGCTTTTATCTGCGCGGGGGAGGGTCAGGCCACACACATTCTGTGGACTTGGAAGGAGAGCCCTAAAGGGGTCTTCCCGGTGGAGGTGATTTAGGAGTCTTGGCCCAGGGATAAACGAAGAGTTCGCAGGTATGGCCCTAGGTCGAGGGCAGGATAGGTCAGACACATGTCCTGGGTAAAGGACAGACTCACTTGCCCAAGCGTGCATGCGCCTTCACTGGGCCTCTCCGAGCTGCGCGCTGGAATCCTCTGGCCTTAGAACCAAAGACCAGGCCACCCTGGACCTCGCGGCCCACCAGGGGTCGCGCAGACCGCAGGAACGCGAGGCCCTGGAGGAAAATGTGCCCACTCCGAAAGAGAGAGACGCCGCCTTGTCGGTGGAGGGGGTTCACAAAGGAAAGTAATAACAATAGTAGTTAGCAATAAAATCGCAGTCCCCGTTTATTGAGTGCCTACAGTATGCAGTCCCCGTGCTAAACGATTGAAATATATAGGGGGTTGAAATCTCCCAGAGACCCTAGGTGGCAAGTGCTGTTTTAATTCCTGGTTCGAAGGCGAGGAAAAAGAGGTTCTAGGTGGACCCCGCTCAAGAGGAGGAGGTAAGGCCTCCAGCCGCGCCCTTTGGCGCCTGAGTCCCCGGCAGCCCCTCCCCCGCGGGGTGGGTGAGGTAATGAGCGGTAATTAGAGGTTATTAGCTGTACCCGGAGGGAGAGGCGGGCTCTGCTTTGGGGGTGGGTCTAGTTCTGAGGGGAGGGGTCCTCTTCCTTCCAGCCCAGTCTGGCTCCAGCGACCCTGCCCCAGAGCTGGTTGGGCAAGATGACCGCAACCCCAACGCCGTCGCACGAACACAGTCACTCTACCACCAGACACCCAGTTACAGTCCACTCAGATGCGCAGCCGCACGCACGCGGTCCCTCGGAGGCTCGTCTACACCCGCACATCCCCTTCCTGCGTTGTTTTCAGCTTCCAATCCCTGGGAACAGGGGATGGGGGAGGAGCGGAGATGGGGGTGGGGGGAAAGGGGACAAGGGCCGGCAGTGCCGGCTTCCGTACTGGGCTGCCTTCCGGCGGGCGTGGGAACGACTGCCGCTGGCTCCCCTATCCCGCCCGCGCGGGAGGAGAGGGTACTGCCCATAGGGGAAAACAGGACCATTCTGCCCCCAGTTTAGAAGTAGAAAGTGAGCCGGGAACTACGGTTGTTACAAGGATGGGGGGCTGGGCATATTTGTGAGAATGCCTGGTTACTCAATGTTGGGGACATGCTGGGAACATCAAATATTTGTGGTGGGGGTCCCCAGTATTTGCAAAAAACGCAGGGATCTTGATGGTTAGGAGGCATCTGGGAATACAAATGCTTGGAGCACGGTCATTAATTTTTCTAACGTTGACGGTATAATGGAGGGTGACCCGACTCCCCAGATTTAAGGAAAGGTCCGGGTGCCCTTAATTTGGGAGAGGGGCCCTAGCCCTCCATTTGGGGAGGCAGGGAATCATGTTTAGGAAGAAAGGGAGTTCTTGTGTTGACAGGGAAAAGCAGCAATTCCTATTATGGGATGCACGGAGCCCCTCTCATTCTGAAGGCATGATCTTCAATTCAATGAAAAGGTCACAGGTTTGCATTTTGGGACCCTATATTTGGGAGGAGGATGCAAACCTCCATTTTCGGTAGAGGGAGCCCCCAAGTTTGGAGACCTCCATGAGTAGGGGCACAGAGTGCGGGTCTCGGCCAGCAGCCCCCAGCTGGTTGGGAGACCCCACCCCCTCCTGCTTGTTTCCAGGAACAGCTGGGCCCAGCCTGGGTTGCGCTGCTGGGAAGCTGGTGACTCAGCCCCTCCCTGCGGCCACAGCTGGACCCCCGCCCGCCCCTCCGGCCTTCACATCTGGGCAAAGACCCAGTCCTGAGGGCTGGGAAGGGGGCCCTGGGTTCACACAATTGGAGGTTGGTGCCCCTCTCCTGGGTTGGCCATACCCACAGGGTGGACACCGTGGCACATACCACCGAGACCCTAGCCGACTCTAGCTGGCCCTTTGCACTCCAGACATTGACATCCCTCCAGGAACTCCCATCCTGTTCCCCCTCCCTGTGTGTGTGTGTGTGTGTCCATGTGAAGTGTGCTCACATTTACATAGATGTGAAATGGTGGGTCTGTGATTGTGTGTGCATGGGTGACCCTGTGTGTGTGTGTGTGTGTGTGTGTGTGTGTGTATCCATGTGAAGTGTGCTCACATTTATGTAGCTGTGAAATGGGGCGGGGGTCTGTGATTGTGTGTGCAGGGGTGTGTGTATCTGCATCCACCTGTGTCTCAGTGTGTCTTGGGGCCCTGGGAATTGAAGCATCAGGCTGTTTGTGAGTTAATGGTGTAAGGGAGGGGAGCTGTCAGGGACTGGGGCACACACTTCTCTGTATGAGACCTTGCTTTGTGTCTGTTTTGTGTCATTCTTTGTGTGAGAAGTATGTGATAATCAGTGCCTAAATATGGCTTTAGGTTGTGTTTCCCTGTGACCATGTCCCACTTTCTCCCCTTCATGTGTCTTTCTGTGATATAGCATGACTCTGACATACGGTTTCTTGGTTTGTCCACGTCCCTGAGACAATCTGAGTGTTCCTATGAGTGGCCTTGTGGGTTCATTTTCATGACCCTGCTTTATTTCGTGAGCCCATGGCTGTATGACAGCATGACTGCCATGTTTTCTGCCCACCATGTATTTCTGTACCTCTGCAGTCTCCGTGGAAGAGGCGTGGCTGTATGACCATTAGAGTCCCGGTGTCCAAGACTTTGAATCTGTTTGTATATTTGTCTTAATGATGATGATGTGGCTTTTTCAGAATGCCACTTGTGTGTGGAGATGGCCTTGTCTGTGTCGCTGCCAAATCTGGTGGGTGACATGTGTGCCTGTCTGGGGCTCGGTTGTGTCGATGAGACCATGTCCTCTTTTCGCTGCAGGGCTGGCTGGACTAGGGAAGATTTGTGCCAATGTGCAGCAGGTGTATACTGTTCGTGTGACACGGTGGGTCATGGGAGAGTTGGAGGGTGTCAGAGTCACCCAGGACAGGCCCTCCGCGGATGCGCGCAGGGGGTGTCAGGCAACCCGTCCAGAGGCTGCCAGGAGGGCCCCTCCTCGCGCTGCGGGGGCGTGTGCGTCGTGCGTGACGTGAGACACGGCGGGGGACGCTACGTGCGTGGAGCCCGACGCGGTCGTGCGTGCGAGCACGGGTTGCGGGGGGGGGGCTGGGTTCGCTGCGTGTACGCGTGCGTGGGCGACAGCTGGGCGGCTGGGCGCGCGAGGGTGCGCGGGGGACGGCACCCCCACCTCCCGGGAGTGTGAAACCGGGAGGGGGCCGCCGTTAACCCCTTCCTGCCCGACCTGAAACTTGTGGCCCCTCGACGGAGCGCGCGGGGGCTTCCCCGGCGCGCGGGGGCCGTCCCTGCTGAGGGAGGAAACCCCCCCCTTTGGAGCTGAGACATCCCCCCAAGTTACCATGGGAACCGGAGCTTCTCCCGCGGCTAGCGCGTGCTTCCTGCCCCCACCTCCTGCTCTTCCTCCAGCTCCCTGGTCCACCCGGCAATGTGCTTCCCGCGCCTGGTCTCTGGGGAAGAGGGCTGGGGTCAGCCCCGCCAGAGCGTGCATGACTCAGGCCAGCCTGGGGGTCCCCTAGCCGCAGCCGACTTTGCTCCCCAACTCCCCGCCCCCGTGACTCATCCCTCGCGGCTTTCCCCATGTGTGACTCAGGCCTCTGGGGAGGGGTCTGCGGACTCTGAGACCCCCCTCCCCCCGCCATGGCCGTAGGGGCTGAGAATCAAGTCCTGGGGACTCGTGCGCCAGGGGAGGGGCTCCCTCTCCAGCGGGCTAGGGGCGGTGTCTTCCCTTAACCTGCCCTAGCCAAGTCACCAGACGCCTCACTCCTCAACCCCTAAATTGGCAGAGTCTGCCCCCAACCCCAGGCCTCCGGGAACCCAGCCCCTCCTCCACAGCCCACAGGAAGTTTTGGCAGAACCCCTCGTGGCGATGAAACGGTTAAAGCCGTTTTCTTATTCATTTCATCCAGGGGCCCCTTTTGACTCAGAACAAGCCAGGCGCCCCCTTGAACCAGGCCTCATGGGGGCCTGGGTTCATACTCCACCCAACATGTACCATTTTTAGAGAGGGGAAGGAAGGCGATTGGTGAGCTCGCTGGGGGTCTTGGGTAGCATATAGATCTGGGTTCAAATCCTGCCTTTGCCCTCATTGCTATATGGGTCTTAGTTTCACCATCTGAAAATGGAGGATAATTATGTCCAACTCACAGTGATGTTGGGGGAATAGGTGAATAATAATAGACAGGACTCTGCATCCAGAGCTGGGTGCAGGAGCAGGGTGGGGGCCTGGCAGGCGGAAGGACCCAGGCTCCTCCTCCCTCTCAAGCCTGGGTGTCAGGGTACCCAGCATAAGCCAGTCCTTGTGGGGCAGGCTGTGCCCCACCCAGGCACTCTTGAGGCCATGGGGTTCATCTGTCCACCCCCTGCCCTGGGCAGGCACCCAGGAAGTGGGAGGTGGGGCAGGAATGAGGCGGAACCTGTTGGGCCCGTAGCTTCCCTGCCCCCACCCTCATTCCGGGGCCCTGACAGGGCCCCCCCACGCTGCGGCCCCACCCCCGCCGTCCTGGACGCCTGGGTCCTGACCCGAGGGTGG